CTGAGAAATACCACACGGTATATATATTAGATCTTTAGGGAAATCGCTAAGTAGCGAAACAAGTTTTAACATTTTGGAGATTATTGTTTAAAGAACCATAGTTGATGAAGGAAAAATGCTGTAACGATCAAAGACGGTCTTTAAACAGACATGTCTCCTGGGACACCCTCTATATCCCTGTACCATGTAGGGTGTATAATGTATAATGTGAGCGGAGATCTTCCGTTCTTCTAGTTTCTAGTTTCTCCAAGTACTGTAAAGAACACAAGTGCATTAATAAATTAAAGGGAAAAATGAAAAAAAAATTACATAAGAATTAAGTCTTTGTCACAAACTCAAATTTTCTCATCCCAATATCTTTGCAACTTGATTATGCCAATTATTTTACCAATATAATTCTTAGTTTGAAATATTTAGGGTCTATACCACATTGGATTGCCATAAAAATTAGGATTAGAAATTCGAGTTTGGGGCAAAGACACGATCAATTACTTTTCAAGAATCAATGTCGTTTTGTAAAAAAAAAAACACAACTTCATATAACTTTACTTAAACATGATAAGACCTAATTTTACTGAACATTGAGAGAATTGTTGAACTGGCCCTTTAAAGGTTTGGACTAAGTTGTGTAGTTAGAGTGAGAGCAAATGGTTGGGAAGGATCAAATAGAGTTGTAAATGTACAATATATATAATATATTTAATTCAAGGAACAAGAAAATGGGACATAACGGCAAACTTGGACAAAAATACTCAAAGGTGAGGTTAAACATTTTACAGATTGAAACTATTATTATTGAAACATTAACATTGACTGCCTACTTTATTTAAATACTTAATTACTGGATTCATTGCCTTTCTTTTTAAACCTTTGTCTGATCTAAAATCATCGGGATATTCTTGTTTTTCTATGAAAATTTGTTAATTAATGTAAAATTTGAGACAAAGAACTAAATTGACAGTATTAATCTCTTTTCGGGATTGGAAACAACAATGTCTTCCTCATTCGACAAAAACAAAGGTTAACATGGATAGCGTTGTAAATCTAGGGTTACATAAAATTACATTCACTGTCCCTTTAAGGTAAAATAAAGAAATTGAGTCTTAGCCATAAAGTCAAATTTGCTAATTCCTATATCTGTGAATTCTGATGGTGTAAACCTTTGATATTTCAAACTTAGATTATTCTATTACACAGAATGGCTCAGTTTCATTTGCCACAATAATTTTGCCATAAATACTTTTGCCATAATTACACTTGCCATAATTAAAATTAAATTTGGTTAGAATTAACAAACATGTATACATATCTTTTTAAATTACAAATTAAATACAAATTACAAATCCAATTCAGAGACAGTTCGAATTCGGGTTCGAATTCTAACGAAGTACATTTTAACCAAACATTTCCAATATTTCACTTCTGTAAACGAGGTATTGGCTACATAGGTGTAGTTGTTGCTGTCTCGAACCATTGGTTAACCCTTACTTGTGGTCTCAAAGGTAACCAAAGGGTCCTCCATTGTGAGAAAATATGGAGCTGAACTTGTGTCAACTGTTCTGTTTTAAAACAATGAGAAAACTAAAGTTGGGAATTTTCATGGGAAAATTTCCCGCATTTACAACAAAAAAGACAGATTTACATCTTTTTAAAAATTAGAAAATTATGACAAAAGTAATTATAGCAAATGTAATTATGGCAAGTTTAACTTATGACAAGTGTAACTTATGGCAAGTGTTACTTATGGCAAAGGTATTATGGCAAATGTAATTATGGCAAAAGTATTATGGCACATGAAACTGAGCCCAGTAGAATTCAGAGTTAAATTATTTAAAGTGTAAACATTTTGTTGCACAATTATTAATTTTAAAAATGTGACAAATTTAGACTGCAGTGGGTGTGGCAGTGGCAGGAGGCTTAGTGGGCGTATCAGGTAGTAATTTGAATTTTATAATTTAATTATTGTTTGTTTAATTAAAAAACAACTCAAAGACATTCTGTGATCAAAGAAGATTTTTTCATTATCGAATAATAAAAATTATTCGGAAAGGAATAAATATTTAATTTTTAAAGATCTATCAAAGATGATTATAATATTTTAATTGCAGCATCAGTCACTACTGGAGCTTCAGAATCTTTTTATTCTATAAATTGTTAATTTCTATATTAGCCTTAACAGCAGTAACAGTTTCTACAAGAGCTGCTGAAGCATTAATAGCTCTATATTAATTATTTTCAGCTTTAACTGCAGTAACATTTGCTACAAGAGCTGCTGAAGCATTAATAGCTCTATATTGATTATATTCAGGTTTAACTGCAGTAACAGTTTCTACAGGAGCTGCTGAAGCACTAATAGCTCTATATTGATTATTTTCAGCTTTAACTGCAGTAACAGTTGCTACAGGAGCTGCTGAAGCACTAATAGCTATATATTGATTATATTCAGCTTTAACTGCAGTAACAGATNAGTTGCTACAGGAGCTGTTGAAGCACTAATAGCTCTATATTGATTATATTCAGCTTTAACTGCAGTAACAGATGGTGTTGAAGCATTAATAGCTCTATATTGATTATATTCAGCTTTAACTGCAGTAACAGTTGCTACAGGAGCTGCTGAAGCATTTATAGCTCTATTGTGGCGGAAGACGATCTGAGTCTGAGCCGGATATGAGGACGCGGCAAGAGGAGCATCAATTCTGCCACTTCACCCATCTATATATTTTTCTATAATCTAAATTTATGAATCAAGATATAGTTATTTAATAAAGTATTTATTTAAACCTGGGTCTTGTTATATTGAGCGTAGCTAAACTATATTGTTTATTTTCAGCTTTAACTGCAGTAACAGATGGTGTTGAAGAATTAATAGCTCTATATTGATTATATTCAGCTTATCTGCAGTAACAGTTGCTACAGGAGCTGCTAAAGCATTAATATCTCTATATTGTTTATTTTCAGCTTTAACTGCAGTGACAGTTGCTTCAGGAGCTGCTGTAGCACTAATAGCTCTATATTAATTATTTCCAGCTTTAAATGCAGTAACAGTTGCTACAGGAGCTGCTGAAGCATTAATAGCTCTATATTGTTTAGTTTCAGCTTTAACTGCAGTAACAGTTGCTGCAGGAGCTGCTGAAGCCCTAATAGCTCTATATTGATTATTTTCAGCTTTAAATGCAGTAACAGTTGCTACAGGAGCTGCTGAAGAATTAATAGCTCTATATTGATTATATTCAGCTTTAACTGTAGTAACAGTTGCTACAGGAGCTGCTGAAGCATTTATAGCTCTATATTGTTTATTTTCAGCTTTAACTGCAGTAACAGTTGCTACTGGAGCTGCTGAAGCACTAATAGCTCTTCCTGTTTTTGTAACTCCTGGAAGCATGCTTGCTGGCCATAGGAATGCTACATAAAACTCAATAAAATTATTTATAAAAATATATTGACATTATATTTCAGCGTCATTGCATCCTTTGCCTTTAAAAAAGTCTCTATGATCATATGAGAGGTTTAGGCATAATTCAAAGGTGTAGGCTTTAATTTTATAAAGGAACTGAGTTTTTGCCACCAACTCTGTTTTTTGAACACCTATATCCTTCGCAATCGCAAGACTATGTCGCAAACCTTTGATATTTCAAACTATGAATTATGTTAGATCAAATAGTCAAAGTTTGAAATATCAAAGGTTTACTCTATCATATTACACAGATATAGGGGTTAGCAAATTTGAGTTTGTGGCAAAACTCACTTCCTTTCACTTAAAATTGATTGCCAAACATGGTACATTTGAGATGTCATGCGTGATTTAAATATAATTATTAAATGTCTATCCACATCACATGTCTCACTTTTTCGATTTTTTTTATCAATTTTTCTTAAAATCATTTTTTTATTATGTACACGTAAAACAATAAAGGTTTTTTAATACTCCCTCTACCTCTCCTCCCCCCTGTGGACCTGTCAGAATAAACGGTAAAATTTTTAAATTTTTTTAAGAATAAAAATTGTCGCCGGTTGTGGCATCAATTCAATTTTTATAAATTAAGCCCTGAGGCCTAAACTTTTGGATGGAGAATTATTAATCTTGAACTCATGATTTGGATATACTTCAGAGGATCAATTAAAGTTATCCTTACAGTAAGTAAGCCTTCATGAACTTTACATCCTTTTCAATTTAAATTTGAAAAAATTTGCATGTTTCATTTTTAGGCATTCTATTTTGACTATTTGAGTACATAGGTGTCTGTTTTGAGTTTGTCTGATGACCATAAAACTTTGAAATATTAATAAGAAGAATTCATAGGTTGAAATACTAATAAAGAAATTATTTTTATTTTATTGTTTAATCATAATTTATCATACAATATACATTTTTCGTTTAATTCATATCTCATTTCATACTCGAGCTCTTCTGCGCACTCTCTTGGACTTTATTTTCTCGACAACTCTGAAAACTTTCCTTGATCAAGTCGCATTTGTAATTTTGTTTATTATTTGAAAGTATTCAGGTTCCAAGCCTTAATCTTGCCTGTGTTTACAAACTAGATTTTAAGATTGCATCAAAATAGATATTTAATCGAACTTCCCGGAAAATAAACACAATTTTGTTGTGCAAACCTTAGATATTGTATCAAAATTCCAAACAGCCAAATAAATTTGAGTTTTCGTCAGAAATATTTGGCATATTGAGACGATTATGTTAAATAGAATTGCTTGAAATATCGAGAAGGGTTTAAAAATATGTGTGAATAAAAAAATATTTTTTTCCTGTTTTGAGTTAAAAGACCAAAAAGCATTTTCAACCAATATTTAAAAGCAGTGCCTTTAAAAAAAATCTGTATGCTTTGATGTTAAGTTAACTGCATTAGGAAAAAAAATATATTATATCAACATTTTTGAATGATAAAAAGTTATTATGGTTTTTACTTGGCAGATTTGAGAATTCCAAAATGATCATTACTTTTCATTTTTTTGTTGTTGTCTCTTTTCTCTATACTCTATCAAAAAGTTTTTAAATGTTGAAAACTTGTCTAAAAAGTTTTAATTTTTGATTTTCTATGTTAACATTATATAATTTGCTCAACTGGTAAGTTGATGAAGCAAAAATATTAGAATATGGCCGGGGTTAGGGTAATCACAAAAAATCTGGACAAAATTGCAAAGTCTAATTGGGGTCTGATATAGTTCCCGTAAACAAATTTCTATCGGTGAAATGTCCCATCTTCAGAGACGACTGTAGAGAATACTATCTGTATCTTTATATTCATGATTCCCTGCAACTAAAAACTTGCTTCTGTCTTTGCCAAATCATTAAATAGGCCAATAAAATACTATAGTTTAGGCAGAAGACTTAATTTGAGCTTGGGCACGTCATATTTTCAGAGTTTTTGGTCGTCTTTGCAGTCTCATAATTTATGGGTAACCCTGTATACAAAATAGCACCTTTCTGTAAAATCTTTTATTGATGGAACTAGACTGGGAACACAGCTTTGCCTGGAAACCAGTTTTCCCGATGAAAGTCAACCAACTCAATTTAGAATTTTTAAACCTAAAAACATTATCGTGGCTATTCGGAGTTGCTCAAGCAAATTGGTCGATGGGTTTATGAGTTATTTAAATACCAAACAGGGATTGTTATTATAGATATATATATTCAAATCTACAAAATTGTCCCCTATCTAAAAGATTGTCCCCTATCTACAAAATTGTCCCTTATCTACAAAATTGTCCCCTATCTACAAAATTGCCCCCTATCTACAAGATTGTCCCCTATCTGCAAAGTTGTCCCCTATCTACAAAATTGCCCCCTATCTACAAGATTGTCCCCTATCTACAAGATTGTCCCCTATCTACAAAATTGTCCCCTATCTACAAAATTTCCCCCTATCTTGAAGATTGTCCCCTATCTACAAAATTGCCCCCTATCTGCAAAATTGTCCCCTATCTACAAAATTGTCCCCTATCTGCAAAATTGTCCCCTATCTACAAAATTGTCCCCTATCTACAAAATTGTCCCCTATCTACAAAATTGCCCCCTATCTTGAAGATTGTCCCCTATCTACAAAATTGCCCCCTATCTATAAAATTGTCCCCTATCTGCAAAATTGTCCCCTATCTACAAGATTGTCCCCTATCTACAAAATTGCCGCATATCTGCAAAATTGTTCCCTATCTACAAGATTGCCCCCTGTCTACAAAATTGCCCCCTATCTACAAAATTGTCCCTTATCTACAAAATTGTCCCCTATCTACAAAATTGCCCCCTATCTACAAGATTGTCCCCTATCTACAAGATTGTCCCCTATCTACAAAATTGCCCCCTATCTACAAGATTGTCCCCTATCTACAAGATTGTCCCCTATCTGCAAAGTTGTCCCCTATCTACAAAATTGCCCCCTATCTACAAGATTGTCCCCTATCTACAAAATTGCCCCCTATCTACAAAATTGCCCCTATCTTGAAGATTGTCCCCTATCTGCAAAATTGTCCCCTATCTATAAAATTGTCCCCTATCTACATGATTGTCCCCAATCTACAAAATTGTCCTCTGTCTACAAAATTGTCCCCTATCTTCAAAATTGTCCCCTATCTACAAAATTGTCCCCTATCTACAAAATTGTCCCCTATCTACAAAATTGTCCCCTATCTACAAAATTGTCCCCTGTCTAGAAAATGACCCTATTTTTTTAAAATATCCTATCTGAAATTTTATGATATAAGTTCCAAGTTAAAAATCCGTGACCGTAACATCATAATAAAAAGAAAGACGAAAGACTGTTTTTTGGTCAACACTGTATGTTCGTGTGTTCAGATATGAGATGGTCGTGTTGTAAGGGTCCTGAGATAGGTGGGGAGGGATGTACGCCCCTCTGTGATCTCTGTGATTCAGAATGGGGTTCAGGAGCCCCTTGTGTTCTAATCAGGTAAAACTATATAAGACTGTATTATGTTTAATTATTACCGATCTGTTACAATAAAAGATTACCTTGCCACAAACTCAAATGTTCTTTTCCCTATATCTTTTCAACCTTTAAACCAGCAGGTTAAAAAATATAGGGATTAGAAAATTTTAGTTTGTTGCAAAAACTCAATTCCTTTTGCTCCTTAAATCATTATCTTAACTATTCTGCTTTCCTTTTTTTACATTTTGAAGATTTGTGCTTAAAATTTGGACAATATAAGCATATTATAACATTAACATGATGTCAACAAACTTTTTCTATGTATGTAACAAATGAAAAAATGTTTTTTGGCCGAATGATCTTAATTTTGACAATCCAGTTTCAAATGAGTCCAGAGACCTAAAATTCCCATTTTTTAAATAGCTGAACAACCTCTTTAGTTTGATATAGTGCCTGGAGAGTCTTTATAAAAAATGAATGATAAATATAATAATATTAAATGCTAAGATGCAAAGTAAATATTAAATCTACGCTGAAATAGTATAAAATATGTTTGTATGCATATTTATGAATAAAGTATGGATTAGCTCAGATAAAGTGGATCTTAGGTTTCAAAGTAAAAATATTAAACATTTTCCTTATGCATAAATGTCTGAAATATCTGAAGGGACTGCCTACGATATTTTAAATAGGTCAGACATTTAAGAAAAATAAGATAATGTTAATATATCCACGATAACTTTAAATTCGAAGACATAGTATACATAATCTATAAACAGAAAACAAAATCAAAAGACTTCCAAATTAATGACCCCAAACTTTACGAATTAACAATACGAAAGTTATGCTGAGTATGCAGTGTTGTGGAAAAATACTTTAGGATTCATTTGAGACATATGAAACTTTTCTACGATGTATAATTACTGAGTTTAAATCATAAATTTGGGTTTTCAGAATCGGTTTTTTAAATTATTAAATAACGACGACGAAAAATCAACTAAAAATTTAACAGTAAACTAATTAGATGTCAATAAATCAATGCTAGAATCAATTATTTAGTTTTCATCATTTTATTGAATTTCTTATTTTCTATGAATTTATTCGCAGATTTCTAGAAAATCTTCAAATGTCGTCTTTTCAATAATAATTCCAAAAAATCTGCAAATAAATCTTTGTGAATAAAAAGAAAATAGAATATTTAGAAAATAGAAACTAATAAAACTAATAAAATAAACAAGATTACTCATTTTCGATGATAAGATTCATTTTTATTTTCTCAACCTGTTCCTAAACAACTATTTAGTTTATTACAGAATTTTGTTTTCATTTTTTGTCGTCGATATTTAATAATTAAAAAACAATTCTGAAAACGTATCCACCTTCAAAGTAGGAGTTTTGAAGATCAAATTTGCGCTCAAACTCAGGATTTACAAATCTTTGAAAAGTTTTATATGTCTCAAATGAATCCTAAAGAATTTGTCCACAACACTGCATACTCAGTTCAACTACCTTACATAGCCAGTCTATTTAGACCTCAGTAAAAACAATATTAGAACAATATTTCAGAGGAAGAAAGTTCCAAACCGTACTTACGTTCCAAGCCTGACACTGAGTGTCAGGTTTGGAACGCATATCATGATCTACGTTTTATTAACTCTTCCTATGCCAAGTGTTGATATCAATAAATGAAACTATTTCCAACATATTATTAAGCACGGCGTGAGCTACAAATAACATTTTTTACTTCTTTGGAACTTTCCTCCCCTGTTAAAAGTATCGATATATAAGATTTTAGAAAAAATACATTTTTTATCAAGAAGGAGAGTACAAATATGTTTAAAGGAACTGTAGGCGTAATTTCAAGTAACAATCAAGTTATCGTAAATCCGGTTTAAATTAACCATCCTTTATTTTTTTAAGTGAAAAATGTTTTTTATTATTATTCTGTTTGCTCAGTAAAAGTCGCTTACGGATGTATGCAACAGAGACAATGAATGAAATTGTGAGAATTTGATATTTTTACGATAAAAAAGTACTCAGATAGCTGTTAAAATGTACTGTTGTGAGTCTGACAACCCACTCTTGTAATCTGTGTCCGAATTTAATGAATTTGAGCCGCGTCTTAAATCCGCTAAAAACCGGTTTCAATTAAGCGCTGGTTTAAATCTTGAAACATTGAATACAATATTAAGTGGAACCAACCATATTTAAGCCGCGACTTAAATTTAAGCCGAGGCTCAAATTCTTTAAGTTCGGCCTCAGTCCCTTTAAATGTGCTCTTAAGTGATATCAGACGAGAGGAGAGTATTTGCAAATATTATCTTTTAATTAATTTTTATTTTAGAAACCCTGATCGAGGATTACAGGGACAAATGGAGAATTATGAAGTTTTTATCAAGAATCATGATCTTGTAGAGAATACTCCCTTAGCAAACTCAACATAAATACTCCCTACTCCCCCTCATCTTGTAGAGAATACTCCCTTAGCAAACAAAACATAAATACTCCCTACTCCCCCTCATCTTGTAGAGAATACTTTCTTAGCAAACTCAACATAAACACTCCCTACTCCCCCTCATCTTGTAGAGAATACTCCCTCAGCAAACTCAACATAAATACTCCCTAATCCCCCTCATCTTGTAGAGAATACTCCCTTAGCAAACTCAACATAAATACTCCCTACTCCCCCTCATCTTGTAGAGAATACTCCCATAGCAAACTCAACATAAATTCTCACTACTCTCCCTCTTCTTGTAGAGAATACTCCCTTAGCAAACTAAACATAAATACTCCCTACTCCCCTTCCTCTTGTAGAGAATACTCCCTTAGCAAACTAAACATAAGTACTCCCTACTCCCCCTCATCTTGTAGAGAATACTTCCTTAGCAAACTATACATAAATACTCCCTTCCATAGCAAACAAAACATGAATACTCCCTTCCCCCCCCTCATCTTGTAGAGAATACTCCCTTAGCAAACAAAACATAAATACTCCCTACTCCCCCTCATCTTGTAGAGAATACTCCCTTAGCAAACAAAACATAAATACTCCCTACTCCCCCTCATCTTGTAGAGAATACTTTCTTAGCAAACTCAACATAAACACTCCCTACTCCCCCTCATCTTGTAGAGAATACTCCCTCAGCAAACTCAACATAAATACTCCCTAATCCCCCTCATCTTGTAGAGAATACTCCCTTAGCAAACAAAACATAAATACTCCCTACTCCCCCTCATCTTGTAGAGAATACTCCCTTAGCAAACAAAACATAAATACTCCCTACTCCCCCTCATCTTGTAGAGAATACTCCCTTAGCAAACAAAACATAAATACTCCCTACTCCCCCTAATCTTGTAGAGAATACTTCCTTAGCAAACTCAACATAAATACTCCCTACCCCCCCTCCTCTTGTTTCTTCGTTGGTCAAAGTAATGCAACTTACTACAGTACACACCGAAAGCTTAATTAAAGGTGAACTACAAAAAAATTTACCCGGTGATATGATTTTTTTTCTAAGTCTTGATCTTATGAAACATGCTTATTTTGAAACATTATTTTTAATCTTCAAAAAATAGTTTCGATTTTTATGTAATATTTTTCTGATAAAGTAAATTTCATTTTTTGGCAAATTAAAACTTTTTAAAATAGAATAATGTATTAACAAGTTGTTAGTTGTTACCTTAGAATACTCCAATAAGAAAAGAAAAGAAAATAAAGGGAATGTAGAAGATATTTTATAGAGTTGCATGTCTAATTCACAACGATACAATTTAAACCTTAGTCTGATCAAACATGACGCATATATCTTTATTTTCCGAGCTGAAAACTCATAGATTAATATCAATACAGATAGAACACTAGCAGTCTTTTCAAGATTTAGGGATTTTTCGTTCACAATAAACCTGAAGCAGAGGCCCAAAGGAGTTGCGTTTATGCTGCGTAGAACAGACTCTCTCTCTATCTTGTAATTCTACGCGACATGCGCGTAACTTCCTTAGGCGTCTATGCCTCAATGTATTGTGAAAGAAAAACCCCTAAATCTTGAAAAGACGACATACAGTGTTTATCTGTATTGTTACTAATCTATGGGAAAACTTCACTTGAAATGATGTTTACAGTCCCTTGGATTTTTATTTCTATTTATTTATGAATAAAACTATGTCAAGGTCATTCCAAATTATTTTAACCCGGTGCTTTATCATTCAAAATCCGGTGCTGAAGAAACACACAAAAATTTAACCCTTAATGCTAAAATAAAATCAGAAAAAAAATCATGGCTTTCTTTTGTGATTTAACACAAAGAAGCTGAGGTTTTGCCACTAACGGAAATTTCCTAATCTTTATATCTTTCCAATCTTATGTTTAAACCTTCGATATTTGAATCTTGAACTGCTTCAGAATTATAGATTCAAATATCCGAGGTCTAAGACATTGAGTTGCGTAGATATCGGGATAAAAAATTAGAGTTTGTGGCAAAACTCAATTCCAAAGTTTGATATTTAATGTGCCATGTAGTGTTTGTAATCGTAGATATCGCTGAAAGAATTCACTGCTGTGATTAAAAGTAAAATTATAAAAATTAATATTGTTTAATAAAAGTTGTTGCTGTTCTTTAGAGACCTATTTTTTAGATTATTAGCTTATCCTTTCTCATATTTTAATAATCTATTATATTTCATTCTTTTCTTCTTTTCATTCAAATTAAGGAATTGAGTCTTTTTCACAAACTCTTATTTTCAAATTTCTGATGGTGTATTCCTTTGATATTTCAAACTTAGATTGTTTGAACAAGCCCAATGCATACTTTGAAATATCTAAGATTTACGACATTAGGTAGCAAAGATATAGGGATTAGAAAATCAGAGTTTGTGGCAAAGACTCAATTCCTTTGGTTTTCAAATTAACTTTCAAAACTTAAATTTGTTATGGTGTTACAACATTTTTAAAGTGTAGTGTACAGTGAAAACATGATAACTGAGGAATAGGAAGACGACATTAAAGCTAAGTTTAAGTTTATTTGATGTTGTTACAACAGAAACAGTTTTACCCTTGAAGTTTAACATCACTGATTAAGTGAAATGTACATTTGCTTTTTCATGTTTATAATAAAATTCAAAATTAAGATTTACGTTTAAAAATCGTCTTTCATTGCACAGTTTTCTGGCTCTCATTGTATTTCCCAAAAATATTGAACATTCCTTGTCCTAAAAATGTACAACTGCTGTTTCATGTTCTTAATAAAATTCAAAATTAGGACTTACGTTCAAAATTGTCTTTCATTGCACATTTTTCTGGCTCTTACTGTATTTTCCCAAAATATTTAACAGCCCCATGTCCTAAAATCTACTTCCAATTTCCAAACAATAAAAGCAGAATTTCTGCAGTTATTGCATTGCTGTTAGGACCATTATCTTTTACAGTGATTGTAAGCTTGTACAGGGTGTCCCACGAAACATGACAGTAACAAGGCGACTTGAAGGTCGTCTTTGTAATAACTTTTTCATTTAATGCGTTAATCTAATTTTTGAAGTACAATACTAAGTTAATAATAACAAAATAACCTTAGTCTTGGCTTTTTCAAAGTGTGGTCTGCTTTTTTTGTCCGTTTAAGATCTCTATGCTCTGGTAATAAATTGACACCACAAAAAAGACAGACCACATTTTGGAAATGCCAGGACTAGGCGAATTTAAGAATTAATGTTTCCAGAATCGTACATAAAAGATTAGGTTGACGATCAAATGCCGTAAATAATTTCAAAGATCTGAGACATCCTTCAAGACGTTTTTCTGCTTTCAACTTCTATGGGACACCCTGCTTAAAATGATTGCTGATAATAATGATAAACATAAACTTAACTGTTCTTATACAGTACACCTTCCAAAATACATAGTTTCCAGTACACATAGATCCAGATTGCTATGAAAAGTTGCAATTATTGTCAATACTGGATCCACGTTCATGTGTTGAAACGTTTTAACCTTTGAATTTCCTCACACACTCGCTTATACTTTTTAATGTTACCTTAGACATGTACATTTATATCCATCTGAAGTAAAACTGAATAGTTGAGAGTAGTTGGAGTTCTGGAAGGTGTATGATAAGCTGATATGATAAGATTTTATGCCATGATGGGTTAGCTTAAAAAATACACCACCTTGACCTTTTATTTTACCTCAGGCCTACTTGCCTTAACCTTAACTATGCTCGTTTTGTTTTTTACTTATGTTTTTAGGAGGAAATTTCAATTCCTTTATATTACTGTAAGCTTTTCATCCAACCATCCTTCCACTTAGCTTCTATTCGCAAAAAGAAGAGTTTTATGAATATTACTGTAATACATCTTAATAAAATATTCAAGAATTTCCAAACTAATCATGGGATAAGAACTAGGGCATTAGTGCACCAAAGTTCAGAAGTGGAGAAGGGGGGGGGGGGGGGAAAAGTTTAAATTTGTCTAATTTTCTCAGGGTTAAAAGGGATTTAAACTTTGATCTAAGCTCTTCGATCTATGCATCAATGCAGATATTTTTTTTCAAAAATTTATCCAACTTCCATGTTCTTGTATTAAAAATATCATTCAGAATTTTAAACACGTAAATGTCGTATTCAGTATTATCTAAATATGCATTAGGCGCATGGTTTCTTCTTTTTATATTTCGTCTTCAAATTTAAATTGAATGGTATGCGACGTTGACAAAAATCTTTAATTAAAAATACAGTCGTCGTCGGATAAATCAAAACAATGAAGACGACTTTCCATTAAATTTTGAAATTTTCCAATCTTTCAAACAGCATGGAGAGGAGATAAATAAACAGAAAAACAAAAAGAAGTTGTCAATTATCAGCTTGTCTTTGTTTACATGTAAACTTGTAATTTGAAAAATGCTCGTTAGGGATTAAAGCGTTATTAGTTAAGGCGCTTCATTGTATTGATCGCCAACCATATGTTGTTTGAATATATAGAGTTTCATCCTTACAGTCTAAAAATAAGCGTTTTGGTACGTTTTTTGCATATATCTTCTCACTTTGGCAAATGTTTAAAAATCATTTTAAACTTTGCATAACTTCTCATGTGATTGATAAATGTTTTTAAGGTCAAAAAGCCAACCCAAGATATTGCCTATTAGCACTCACAGTAACTACAACAACAACAAAACTGGGTCCAAACGGTTTAACTATTGCTTGCTACGACAAACGTAAAAATATATCAACAAACCATATAGCATACAGGGTTACTCACAAAGGATGAGACTGTAAAGACGACTTGAAACTAATAAAATATGACGATTACAAGGTTAAATTAATTCTTCTACAGAGAATCCTAAATATAAGGAATTAGACATTATAAATTCTGTACAGTCGTCTTTAAAATATCATCTTTTGTGGGTCACCCTGTATATAAATATTTATATATATGTATGTAGGTTTTGATTATCGATCTTACTTCTTCCGTATCAAATATTGGTTTAGATTTATGTTTGAAGGATAACGACATTTCCAGACTTACTAGATATAGAACTGTTAATGTTCATTCTATTTATGTTAAAGTGAACCCATAAAATTATAGTACAGGAAGACGACTGTGAGACTTAAAGTTTAATTTGGATAGTCCAATGAGCTATCATGAAGCACAGTAAAAAATTAAATGTTTATTTGAACTGGAAAAACTATTTGCTTTCTATCAAAATCAGTTTTATTAAAGTTACTCTTTCTGAAATTATCTTTAATAATTCAAGTTTTGTAATTATATAACTTTGCTGGTCTGATGACAAATCCTCCTCCCCCCTCCTATGATCCCTCCTCCTACCCCCCCCCCCCTATCCAACCATGTCCGGGGCACTGTTTATTTTTATACCTGGTGACCAAAGTATCTATCTATCTTCTTATACTTTCCCTCTATTCTCTTCGATACTTAGTAGTCACAGTCAGTCGTTCTCAGTTACTGGTCGAAAAACAAACATTCTATTAAGCATTCAAAACCAATCTTCATTTCATAACGTTCCATGTTATACTTGTTCAATACCATTAGAGTTCCATCTCATAAACGTTCCAAGACAAGAACGTTTATATGATAAGCGCTACAAACCATTCAAGTTCCAGCTATCATAAACGTTCAATATAATAAAGGTCCCATAACGTAAACGTTCCATAGTGTAAAAGTTTCTTATCTGAAATGTACCCAATACTAAACGTTCCATTTCATAATGGTTATATATCATAAAGATGTCATAAGATTTACGTTTCTAATCAATAGCATATACCATATTTTAAACGTATATCTTAAACGTTCTCTGTAATAAACGTGTTATGTAAGATATCATTTCGTTCCCATTCTAAATTTCTGAATCATAAAAGTTCCCTATAATAAACGTTCTATATCATAAACGTTCCAAATAATTAACGTTCCATATTAAAATGTTCTATACCATAAATAATACATATAAAAAAGAAATAATTTATAACAGGAACGTTCTTTTTTATAAATGTTGTTTTATACCAATCATGAACGTACCAAATAATTCACATGCCATATTTTTAACGTTACATACCATAAAGGTTCTTTATCATAAACGTTACAAATCATAAACGTTACAAATCATAAATGTTACAAATCACAAACGTTACAAATTATAAACGTTACAAATCGTAAACGTTACAAATCATAAACTTTTCTCATCATTCTTTTAATTAACGTTTTCATCAATAAAGTTTAATATTATAAATGTTCTATGTCATAAACGTTAAACCTATTAATCAATAATTTATTTTTTATCATAAATGTTTATATTATTAATTAAAAGGGATTAAATGCTTCACCTTTCGATATTTTTCTATATTTTGTTGGTTTCCTCTTTTTTAAATTTAAAAGATTTTTTGTTTGTTTTCAGGTACTTTTATAAAATTCTCTCAAAATAGATTCAGATCAACCAACAGAATGACTCATCTATTATGTTTAACCACTGGAAGCTGACTTTCAGTTTTATCAGCCAGCTAATTTTCATGAATCGTATAGAACATTCAGATAATATAAATCAATTTAACAATACCCCAGTGATATAAATCAACCCAAATAAACATTTAGTTGATAAAAATCAACCTCATCAATAGCCTAGTGATATAAATTTCCTTAATTAAACATTCAGCTAATAAGAATCCAAATTATCTAACCAGTGATATAAATCAACCTTATCTACATAAGTTGCAGCTTTTGTTCCCACAAACAATGCATTTCTAACTAATGCAGAATCAATCAAAACTTGAGAATAGTCTTATATATAAAGATGTGATCAGCTGAAGCAGAACTATCTATCTATCTCGGATCATCTGAAGAATAACTATCAACCTATTCTTAATGAGCTGAAGATTAATTATCCATCTATCTGTTCTAACTAACAAGAGGTTGACCCTTGTGTGGCTTGTATACCTCAAATACAAGCTGCAGGTCAAGTCGGTCAACACACGGCGCAGCTCATAACGAACAACCTAGCAAGGAAAGAAAATCCACTGAAGAAAGCGGATCATAATAAACCTGACCATGAATTTTTACGCATGAAAGTGAAAATAATCGAGTACAGGTAATTGGAATCAAATTTTAATAAAGAAACTCATAACTTGCCTTCAACTATAGTTTTATAATTCGTATATCTTTGCAACCTATAGTATTAACTATTTTTAATTTTTTTGTTTTGAAATTAAAATTTTTCTTGAAAATTATCAAAATATTCCCAATCTTCTACGCAGTTCTGAAATTCAAGGACTTGCTTTAAAGATTTAAACCTTTCGTCAAATCCCTGACATTTTACTGGGAAACTCTATTCTTTGTAAAGGTTTAGTGGGAAGGATATAATTTATAATTTATAAAAAAAATGTAAGGTTGGAGGGCTAGAGTTTGTATAGATTTTACACGTATAAAACCTTCTCTGGAACTGGTTTAAGGCAAAAAAACAACATTTAGTAAACAATCATTTTACAAGTCCGGCTTTCCAACCCTAGACATCCCTTAACTTGATCTCGATATCCACTGTGTGCACTTTTATTTAAGGATCTACAAAAAAACTATACCTTTCCATATATTCCCTTTAGTTATTCCTCTCCTGATGAAAGCTCTCTTGTACCCCTGACTGCATGTAATATTATAATGAGATCGAATACAGATTAAATAATCTGCAGATTAAAAAAAGATCAAAATTAATCATTGATCTCGATATCCACAATGCAAGAGTTCCAAGCTAAGGAAACTTTATACCTGTGATATTTTCTTATTTTTAAACAGTAAAATACTTACGCGAACCATAATCCCCCCCTATAGTATCGATAGATAAGATTTTAGAAAAAATACATTTTTTATCAAGAAGGAGAGTACAAATATGTTTAAAGGAACTGTAGGCGTAATTTCAAGTAACCATCCATTTAAAACTGGGCTTGCCCGATTCACATCGGTACCTTTAAAATCTTTATATGGAAGTTAACGTCGTTTTTCTAGTCCCGACAACCCTTGACGCAGCAAACACATCTTGCGGTTTGGATGAGAAATCGATCAGAAAATTTAGATTAATCATCCTCGGTTTTATATCAATCCTTGCTTTGTTTGAGGCGGGTAAAAAAGGTTTGGTTAAACCTATAAAAAGTTGATGTTCTGTTTTACTTTATAGGAAGTGTATGGTCTGGGTTACCCAGCAATATTTCCTCGGTATACAAACACAAAACTTTTTAAATGATTCGATACAAAGTCTCAGAAAAAAACTTTATGTGGTGGAAGAAAAAAGAACTAAACAAATTATTTAACCTTGACGTTCATGTTTTATAACTGCCCTTTGTCCGAATTTAATGAATTTGAGCCGCGTCTTAAATCTGCCAAAAACCGGTTTCAAGTGAGCGCCGGCTTAAATCTTGAAGCAATGAATACGATTTTAAGTGGAACCAACCATATTTGAGCCGCGGCTGAAATGTTTTATAATTGCCAGTAAATCTCTTTCTTTTTGCAGTTTTTGTTTAGTTTAACTGAGGAAAAAACAGAAATACTAAATTGTTAAAAAAATGTTCTCATCCATATATCTTTGCAACCTTAGGGTATACAACTTTTATATTTTTTACTTAGATTAGTTGTTTGAAATATTAAAGGTTTATACAACATAGGGTTGCAAAGATAAAGGGATAAGAAATTCAGAGTTTGTGGCAAAAACTCAGTTCCCTTAAATTGTTTTAAAACGTTGTTTTGAAAAAAAGCATAATAATAATAATGATAATGATAACAATAATAATAAAAATAACAATAGTAAAAATAAGAAAAAGGAGAAAACTTTCACTTAAAGGAATTGAGTCTTTGCCACAAACTCTGATTTTCTAATCACTATATCTTTGGAACCAAATTTTGCAGACCTTAGATATTTCAAACTATGAATTCTGTTAGATCAAGTAATCTAAGTTTGAAATATCACAGGTTTACAACATCGAGTTTTTTAAAGATACTGTGGTTTAAATATTTGATTTTGTTCCAAAGACTCAATTCCTTTTTTTCCTTGATTTATTTGATTACAGTAAAGGAATTGGGTTCAGATAAGTTTTAAAAAGTTAAAAATATTAAATAAATATTGACTAGAGAAAAAAATTTTTGATAGCTTATAATAACTTATTATTTTATAGATAAGCTTGAAAAGGAATTGAGTCTTTGTAACAAACTCTGATTTTCTAATAGCTATATTTTTTCCACCTGATGGTGTAAACCTTTGATATTTCAAACTTAGATTTTTTCATCCAACAGACTTCATAGTTTGAAATATCTAAGGTCTACGGCATTGGGTTACAAAGATATAAAGCTTGGACAATCATAGTTTGTGACAAAGACTCAATTCCTTTGAGATGTTTATAACCTTTACAGGTGCAGAGAGAGGACGATTTAAATGCCAACTATATATTATTCAAGGATTATAATGTCTAATTTTGATCCAAAAAAAAGTACGGATTGATTTATTTTTACTCGATTTTTCTCAACACACCTTGGCACACACTTCTGGAAATCGTTGAAAGTAGACTCAGGTGACCCTCCATGCAAAGATGTCATTACCCGATGAACAATGGTACCCTTAAACACTTTATCTGATCAAGTATGTATTAGATATCCGTTTGGTTTTGTTTATTTAAACTGTTTATTTTCATTTGCGGTTTCTCTGCAAAAGTGACTTGCGCATTTCTTGCTTGTAAACATGGAGAAATTACTTTTCTATTCAGGACGACGACTTTATCTTCCATATTTTTGTTGAGATACAGGTTTCAAGGGATTTTGGGAACCGATTGTAAATCTTTGCATAAATGGTCACTTTAACCCTATCCCTGCTGGGGTACTTGAAAACCAGGATACGCTGGGGGGGGTCAATTTGACCCCCCCCCCTCTAAATCCCATGTTTTATGTCCAAATATGACAAATGATACATCATTAGAAAGCTTTTGTGCTCTACTTTTAGAATCTGCAAAAAAATTTGCAAATTTGCGAAAATTGAATTTTTTATCGCAAAATCCAGTTTTATAGTAAAAATGTTTGCAAAAAAAAATTTGTCCAAAAAATGACAAATTATACATTTTTGAAAAGCCCTTGACCATGCCATTTCAAATATGCAAAAATTTTTGCAAAATTTTAAATAACCTGATTTTTAATCAAGAAAAACTAAAAATGTGCAAATTTCCTTTGACAGGTTGTTTGCAAAAAATTTGCAATTTTTTTTTCGCAAAACTTGTGCAATCCGTTTCCTTATGTCATAGGCTTTCCAAAAAGCTAAATTTTATCAAAATCTGACAAGTGAAAGTGGGTCAAAACAAAGATTTAGTTTGTTACAGGCAAAAGCAGTCATTCAGGCAGTGTGCCTGAGGACTCAGGCAGTTAGTATTAAAGCCCGGTTTTAGGCCTAAAGGGAGGGCTTTGGGTATGTAAGAAAAGTCAGAAAATTTCAACAGCCTCAGACCAATACTTTTTGAGTTATGTAAAAAAAACTACAGGGGGGGGCAAAATGGTCCCCTCCCCCCCCCCAGCAGGAATAGGGTTAAGCTAGAAAATAGAGAAGAAAAACTAAAATAAAAATGTGAACAAAAAGCAGCAACGTATGGAAATAATTCCTCCTTTGAAGAAAATAAGTTTATAAATTGAATAAATAATTCATTGGTTTTCAGGTTTATATTTTAAGTTCAATATGTAAGTACTTTCATATTTGAACCCTATATACTATACGTACATCCTTTTTTATAATCAATATACATTATTACACATGTATAACAATTGAAATCAATATCACATAAATATTATAATAGAGTCTCGTATACCGTATACACTCTAGTTACAGCTTTCTTTTGGGAATTAATCATAAAGAAAACTTTCTTTTATAAAAAAATTGCTTTAAAAAAAACTAGATTAATTTTTTTCTTTAAATTAAAATAAATGGATTTTGTTTTAGGAAGGAATAAAATTTTAATTATTTATTTCCAGTTTTGACATCATTTTCAAATTTTTTTGTTAAATTATCAGAGATATTTTTTACGTTGTAAAATTCATGGTTAGACAAAGATTTATTATATAACAGATAATTTGGCAGGTTTTATCATCAATTATTTTACCAATATTCCTTTTTTTTCTTCCACACATTTGTTGTTTAAAAATATGTTAATTAAATGAAATGGGTCTTTCTATTGCACAGTTCTATAGATCCCCCTGGAGTGAATTGTGAAACCTATTTTAAAAAGATCTTTTTATTTTTTAGACAAAGTTTGCGATGTCGGAGGATTCGGAGGTAACAGAGTCAGTATCGGAGGGCCCTAATCCTCGGAGGAATCGTCGGAGACGACCCCGGCGACAAACAAGCAGGGAACGACCGTCGACGGCCACCCTTGATCATCCAAATGTTTTAGACGAAACTTTAAAGGTTTTACTTTTTATTAATCTTGTCTTGTCTTGTCTTGTCTTGTCTTGTCTTGTCTTGTCTTGTCTTGTCTTGTCTTGCCTTGTCTTGTCTTTGTCCTGTCCTGTCCTGTCCTGTCCTGTCCTATTCTATCCTATCCTGTCCTGTTCTGTCATGTCTTGTCCTGTCATATCCTGTCTTTATCTTGATTCCTTATTTTTCCAGATTAAAGATTCGAAGAAAATCATATTATTAAAAGATTATCTTTTCTTATTTAAGTCTCTGCTGTTACATAAAATCTATTATTTCATCATGAAAGCTAAGCCTTTTTTGCGATGTTAAATAGTCTTTTTAACTCACTTTTTACTAAATGTCAACCTTGGCCTGTATTGTATGGGGTTAAAGTTGACCTTGCAAAGCAATCATCTAACAAAGGAAGCTTTTAGTAAAAACTTTTTACATTAAGTATTCAGCACGCTTTATTTATGCATCGCTGACAGGGAATTTTCATAACACTTTTTAACCCTATCTCTGCTGGGGTACTTGAAAACCAGGATATGTTGGGCCCTCTAAATCCTATGTTTGATGTCCAAAAATGACAAATGGTATATACATCATTGGAAAAAATTTGCTAATTTTCAAAAATTGAATTTTTTTATCGCAAAATTCAGTTATATAGTAAAAATGTTTGCAAATAAAAATTTGTCCAAAAAATGAAAAATTATACATTTTTGAAAATATTTCAAATATGCAAAAAATTTAGCAAAATTTTAAATAACCTGATTTTTAATCAAGAAAAACTAAAAATGTGCAAATTTCTTTTAAAAAGGTTGTTTTAAAAAAATTTGCAATTTTTTTCGCAAAACTTGTGCAATTCATTTCCTTATGTCAAAGGCTTTCACAAAAAGCTAAATTTTATCTGACAAGTGGAAGTGGGTCAAAACAAAGATTTAGTTTGCTACAGGAAAAAGTAGTCATTCAGGCAGTGTGCCTGAGGACTCAAGCAGTTAGTATTAAAGCCCGGTTTTAGGCCTAAAGGGAGGGCTTTGGGTATGTAGGAAAAGTCAGAAAATTTCAACAGCCTCAGACCAATACTTTTTGAGTTATGTAAGGTCAAATTTGATGTTTCGTTTTGTTGTTTCTAAATTAAATCGATTTTATCCTGTCTCCGTAGGATAAGCTGGATATGACACTGACAAAGAAGAACCTTTTAGCCGCTGTTAAACTTTGCAATGATCAATCTTCATTTTCTAAAACCACAACAGCTTCAAACCTCGCCATGCTTAGAAAACTCAGGTAAAACAGCATAGAGCACTCTATGTAAATCAGGAAGTGCAGCGGATACCGGGTCAGCTGATTATTTTTGCATGTTTACTTTAAGCAAATGTATGCATTTGACTTGATACTAAAGTTTGATTTTTTCTTCAAAAATTGAATTTTAAAATCTCACTACCACCAAATCATTTTTCAAAAACTCTGTTGAAGAGTATAAAATGTGGATATCGACTCCGTCTGGTTTTGCACGCTCAGCTCATTTTTTTGCACTCGCTGAAGTCTGGACTTAATACCCAAGCACTTTTTGCGAGTAAACTGTGCAAAGTTTAGAAACGAGGCATTCTGTACGCACCTTTTGACTGTTCCTTAAATATTGCCGCCTTTTTATCTGATGAAGTCATTCCCTAATTTTGGTTTGTATGGAATGATGAAGAAAAGAATAGGCTATACAACTTAGACCCAATAAAAAATGACACTATACAAAAAGTTATACTAACTTACTCAATATACCCTAAAAAGGTACTAACTTTTAGAAACACTTAAAATATTACTACAAACATTGTCCATGATTCCATTGTGTTGTATTTCGGGTTGTTCTTCAGATGAGTGAACAGTCCCTTGAATCCAACAGAATGCCAGAGAGATCAGTACATCCCGGACCGCTGCAGAGTAGACACAAGTCTCCCAGCACATAGCCGTCCTGGGACCCGTGCTACATATAGCGCACAGAAAGCTTACAGAGAGTATCCTTGTGGACGAGATCTACATTGAAGGAGATGAACCAGGTTCCTGCTGTCATACGGAACCCTGCTCACATTGAAGAACTGGAGTCTGACGGAGATGTTGATCCAGCAGACATTACTCCCTTCATCAGTGGGAATGCCCCAATCGTTACTGTTCCTGCTTCAGAGGATGAGGAAGCAGATGGAGAGGTTGTGGCTGATGGAGCTGAAGGAGGACGTGGAGAGAAGGAGGATATGTATAACTTCCTAGGCGAGTTGTCGGAGAAGATACAGACGTTCAACTCCACCATGCAGGGAAGTATCAATCCCAGTCAGCCACCTGTGGTCCCCGACAATAAACTGTGGGACACAGAGTTAGCTTGGGACAGAGAGCTCAATCTCTATCCCGATATAAGCAGAAGTGTTGTCATTTCTCGCTTGTACAACCAGGTGTGGAACTTGCTCCATAAGATGAAGGAACGGGTAACCCAGCAAACCTGGAAAATAGAAGATCAGGAGATTGTGGAAGGTTTGATCGATATAATGATCTTATCTGCACGCAATAATATCTTAACTGATCAGATCATTGAAGACCATGCTGATAAACCCTAAGTATATAAAGGGACTGACAGCTAGTATTATAATATGATCTTATGTGATTATGTATGCATTTATCAATATACTATTATACGTAATTACATGTAAACAAAGCTTTATTTATTAATTGGGTGTTCGAATTTGTATGAGCATACAAGTATATAAGGCAGACTTAATATATGTAGTTTGCTGAAGTATAGTAATGCCAGATTGCAAAGATATAGACGGTGCATGAGGTGTTAGGCCCAGGTGATAGGACTAACCCGATCTGCAATGTCATCAGGTTACATAGATGATAGATAATACAAGTCTAAGTACTTGAAGTGAAATCTCATCTATTTGTTGATTTAAGTATACACGTTTTTGATGTTCTAATATGTGGTCCCAGAATACCACAATTGTCGCCATAAACTATTTGTTATCTTCGAATACAAGTTTGTGGGGTTTTACTTAAATACATTGGTTGTACACAGGGTAAGATATGTCACAAACTAGAGACAACTAGATGTATGTTACTGAACTACTGTCTTGAGTGTTAGTGTAAGTTTCTGAAACCAGGTTGATCTGTGATTGGATGATATCTGCACCTTTAACCAATCACAGATATTCATACAATTGGGAATTCGGGCTTTAATTGCTTCTAGTAACAATTAACATGCCACATGAGTCAGTTAATGCAAGGATAGATAGATAGAAACGAAAATATTTTTTAATTAATACTTAAATCTGTTTTGTACAAATTCAATCTATTAAACTAATTCAATTTCAAACCTTTATGCTATCTAATAGAAAATAATAATAATAATAAAAAATCAACACAGTTGTATAATATGGAGAACATACAAAACATATAATTGAATAATATCACCTTACGAACTAAATACAGAGAAACGAACAGAGTATTTCTGATTAATCAGCAGATCAAGCTGTTATTCCTCGTATTTAGGAAGTATAACCAGTATAGTAGTAATGATGAAACCGGTTCTTCTAGCGGTTCAGCTGAGCAGATCTACCAACCTCCAAAAGGAAGAAGGTAAAATAAGTTTTTTTTGAAATGAATTACTGGAATAAAACAAATATTCTAATAATTGTTGATTCTTCAGATTTAACCCAATAACAGATTCTGTATGAAGAAATTATAAAACACCTCATCTAATTTAAAAGTTATCAGGCTCTGTTAAAAATAACATGGCCTCATCATTTTTATAATAAAAAAAGAAACGTCAGTAAATTTTGCCAGAAAACATTTAAACATAGAGTTTTGCATATTATATCTGTTTAGTTGAACCAGACGGAAACAAAAAACATGTTATAACTGTTTAGTAGAACCAGGCAGAAACAGAATATTGATAGACCAGTGACTTCGACGCTAGAGAAACCATCTCACTCCGACCTAGATATTCCAAACATAAGGTACAGTGTGCTACAAAAAATGTAGGTATTAAATTTTAAATTGTCTTTGATCTCCAAAGCATTTTCTCAATTTATACATTTTACATCAGAATAATTTAAACTTTTTGTTGATGCTGGACCAAATCTCATAGAGTTTATACTAAAGTAGATGTTAATTCCACATTCATTAAAAATATATTTCCTGGGTTGACCATCGTCAGAGTTCTTGAGATTGTTTCTGTCAGGAAGATTGAAAACATCACATCAAAATATACAATATAAAGAATCAGGATTTCAAGAACTGAAAACTTGCCACAAACACTAATTTTATAATCCCAATATATTTGCAACCTAATAGAGTATCGCTGCGATGTTTCAAATTCTCAGTTATTTGATCAATCAGAATTCTTAGTTTTAAAAATGAAATTACAACAACATTAGGTTGTTGTTGTAATTTCAAGTAACCATCCATTTAAAACTGGGCTTGCCCGATTCACATCGGTACCTTTAAAATCTTTATATGGAAGTTAACGTCGTTTTTCTAGCTTTCTTTTCTCGTTTTCTTTACTAGCTTTCTTTTCTAGTTTTTTTTTCTAGCTTTCTTTTCTCGTTTTTTTTCTAGCTTTCTTTTCTCGTTTTTATTCTAGCTTTCTTTTCTCGTTTTTTTTCTAGCTTTCTTTTCTCGTTTCTTTTCTAGCTTTCTATTCTAGCTTTCTTTTCTAGCTTTCTTTTATAGTTTGAAAAGTCTTAAATTCTGAAAATTCATATTTTGTTTCTTACCGTAGAAGTGTGCAACTGCAAGTCACTTGTAAGAAAACCCGCATTTGAAAATAATCTCTTTTCATGAACAAAAACATGAACAGACTAACCTTTAAGGGTACTGTTGTGAATCAGACATGCCACTCTGTTTATACATGAAATTAAGTTAACAGTCACTTCAAAATGAACACTAAAGAAATTGAGTCTTTACCGCAAACTCAAATTTTCTGAACCTAATAGTGTAAACCTAACTAAGATTATTTGATTAAACAGAATTTATAGTTTGAAAATATCTAAGGTCTACGATATTGGGTTGCATAGATACAGGGATTAAGAAATCGGAGTTTCCGAATATTTCATAAATTCTTTGTTTCATCCTCATTTAAAACTAGTGTTCATTTCTGTAAGTTTCTTCTTTGTTTCTTATAATTTAAAGGACTGCGTAAGTTACTCTAAAAATCAAATCAAATCAAATATTTATTACATGACGATTTCATTTAGTTTAGTCTATATAATTATCACAAAAGAATACAAATCCACATGAGGGAAAAATTATCTGGTGGGCCTGGTTTTCATCATTTTCCCTACAAGCGTCTTATTTTCGCAGAAAATACCGAAAATGAAAATAAAAAGTTTAGATAAACAAAATCATTGATATCTTTTATCTAATTTATACTTGATCAGACAAAGCTTTCAAGAGTACCGTTCTAAATCCGCATCGCCATATTTTCCATGGAGGGTCACTTAAAACTCTTAGAGTCACTTTAATCCTCCATCATCATCTATTTTAAACTTGAAATAAATCTAGAAGATTTTCAAATATGATTGCATGTTCCTATTAATAGATATCATTCTAAACCTCGGAATCCTAAAGCAAGACTGAATCATAGATTAAAAACAGAAGCAAGGAGAAAAATGTTCACAAGGTGATTATTCTTTATAATTTCAAAAAAAATAAAGATTTTAAATAATTTTTAATTTCTTTTTTTTTAATTGTCACACCACCCTCTTTTGCATTTTAGTATTTTTTTTTATTTCAAAAAAAAAAATTATTTTAGAGAGGACAGTATCCAAGAACCTTGCTTCTCTTGTGGAAGAAGTGATCAGCCTGAGCGGTTTCATACTCATCCTGGTATACCACCAGGCACTCATCCAGGTACTCATTCAGGTACTCATCTAGGCACTCATCCAGGTACTCATCCAGGTACTCATCCTGGTATACCACCAGGCACTCATCCAGGTACTCATCCTGGTATACCACCAGGCACTCATCCAGGTACTCATTCAGGTACTCATCTAGGCACTTATCTGCAGGTACTCATCTAGTTGTCATCCAGGTACTCATATAGGTATACCTTAACGTACTCACCTTGGTACTCTTCCAGGTATACCTTCAGGTACTCATCCAGATATAGATATACGTTAAGGTACTCATCTCTAGGTGCATTTTAACTCACCTAGCGTAAAGAAAACACCAACCACAAAATGTTTAGGAAGACTGATAAAATCTCCACTAAAAGAAGCAAAATTGATCAACAACAACAACACTGAGTTGTCAAGCAGTGAGAAGAGAGGAGAGAGGAAGGATGGACGTGTCTCCAGATCCCTCTCTCCTAGGAAATCTGTTTCTCCGGATAAAACCAGGTATAGCAAGGTTTTATAAAACTGGAGACAAAAGACATCAAATTGTTTGAACCAAGTCAATACAATGTTACGTGGCATATAAAGCTATTTACGAGACGGGTTTAAACAGGACTAAATACATAATATTGATTGACCCTTCATTTATAGAATTACATGTTCAATGTTTGAACAATGGTGTCCTTAAAATCTTTATCTCAGTAATAATGAGTAAGCTGTCGTCAGTTGTTCTATCTTGAAAAGGGTTAAATTCTGAAAATCAGTTTTAGCAAAAAAAAACTCAGAATCGATTTTTAAAACACTTATAAAGTGTCAATTAAAAGTACGTTTTAAGTTTATTTTAATAGTTAAATAAAAAGGCACATATAGTTTCCAGAAGTATAAAGTAGATTATACAAAATTATACTTCTAGAACTATTGCCGACTGTTATCAATATGAATTATTACCGATTTATTTAGAAAATGCATTTATTACAAAACCTCAATAAAGTTTGTCTAAATATTAACCTAATAAAAGGACAGTAACCCCCCCTGCCCCCCACCCACCCCTCTAGCCATGATTTATGCTTTCCTGGAACTACTTGTTTTGTACAAACTTTGAGCGTATATAAATAACATTCAGGATAGCTTTAAACCAAGATATAGGATTTTAACATAGATAGGTAAAGGAATTGAGTCTTTGTAACAAGCTCTGATTTTCTAACACCTATATTTTTTCCACCTAATGGTGTAAAACTTTGATATTTCAAACTTAGATTTTTTATCTAAACTAGCCTTATAGGGCGCTTCGCGCCCATCTTTTAAATTAATTGAGAACATGTTCTCTTTGTGTACATCGTAAAACAAAACAAAAATAATTCGCGGATTTTCACAAAAACTTTCGTGGATTTTCAAAATTTTAAAAAATTTTGATGGAGACAAATATTTAAAATTTGATCATTCATAAACCTTCCCTGTGTTCACGTGATTCCCACAAAAAAATTGGGCCCGATCGGTTCAGCCGTTTTGACGTTTATTGGATACACACAAACAGACAAACACCCAGACAAGCCAAATTTATATATAGAAGAATTCATAGGTTGAAATATCTAAGGTCTACGGCATTGGATTACAAAGATATAGAGATTTGAAAATTATAGTTTGTGACAAAGACTCAATTCCTTTTAAGGAAAACATAAAAGACATATCATAACAAAACATGTCTCAAAAAACATGTTTAAAAAAACGTATCAAATCAAAACATATTGTCACAAAACATATCAAAAGACAAGACAAGATACAATGTTTGATTTGACAGGTATTTGATGATCTGTTTTGTATATGTCTGTTTTTAACATAGGCACTCAACAGTTAGATAGGTTTTGTGTTAACTTAGTTAGATAGATTTTAACATAGATAGATATGTTTCTTATAGATAGATAGATTTATAAATAGATAGATATATTTCTTATAAATAGAAAGATTTATACATAGATAGATATATTTCTTATAGATAGATAGATTTGATCAAAGAAATATAGAAACATAGATAGAACGAATGTAACTTAGTTAGATAGATTTTAACATAGATATATATATATTTCTTATAGATAGATAGATTTGATCAAAGAAAGATAGAAACATAGATAGAACGAATGTAACTTAGTTAGATAGATTTTAACATAGATAAATATATTTCATATAGATAGATAGATTTATACATAGATATATTTCTTATATATAGATAGATTTTGAAAGACAGATAGATAGATTTTGAGAGACAGAAATTAAATAATAGGTTTTCCAATTTATTCGGAATTCCCGAGCAAAAAGTCAGATTTCCCTTACTATTGAAAACTTCTTATCATTTTTCTTGTTTTAATGAATAGATTCGTGCAGTGGTATTTAGAGAAAACTGTGAAAAAATTGTCTTCTTTTATATGATTTTTTGAACTCATAAAATGTTAGTAAAGATTTTGAATTTTATAACTGATGAAACGTTTCCATTTCTGATAAAAACCAGTTTATATCAGTACTTTATGTATATCCTTATTTTATCTCTAAAATGAGAAAATTATTCCATTGCTTGCTGGTTACCACTGTATAACAAATTGAATGAAACAGTTTTCTCTTTTCCTGAATGTGAGTCTAATAACACGTTTTTATGTAAAGTTATAGAACCAAAATATGCATTTTGTATCAAATTAAACTTTCTAATTGTTGCTAAACCAAATGCTTATCATCCCCCCCCCTGACCCTATTTATTAAAATTAATTTTGAATCATTAATTCAAATTGTTAAAAATAAATGGTTGACCTAATTTCATGCATTTATTGTTAAATAATATATGCGTCTGACAGGAAGTATAGACATGAAGTATTGACAGGAATTTTATGCATAAGCAAAAAAAACGTTTACAGTGTACAGTGATAACCACAAAAACTCTGGAATAGAAAGACGACTTTAAGACTCAATTTATAACTTTAAATAGTCCACCGAACAAAAGATAGACATTAGGACAGTGTGAACACAGATCCATTTTATTTAAAAGTTTATTAATAAAACAAAAAATTATTATTAGATGTCGTTCTCCTATTCCACTGTTTTCTCACTGTAAGGTATCAAAATTGTGGGTGTACTGTGTATTTATGTATGTTATATCCAGCTGAGACTTCACTTGAAATTGCGCTCACAATCCCTTTAATTAATTCTCTTTTTCTTTTTGATTTAAGTAAAAATAAATCGTCAAGTTTTGGTCTCATAGAAATAAGTTACTTTGCATTCACCAGTTTTAAGAAATACATGAACTCTAGTCCATTAACGTATTAAGAATCTCTCCTATGATCTATTTATCTTACTATGAATAAGATTTTAAACTTTAAAATTCGAATCCGAGTCCGTTCTCCATTTTCTTGCTAAAATGTCTAATTTAATCATGCGCCGTTTTAAAGCACTTCATATTCGCCATTTATTTTAAATATGTATTTGGCTTGTTCGCCTGTTCGTCTGTCTGTGTCAAATAAACGTCAAAACTGCTGAACAGGTCAGGTCCAAATTTTCGTTTGGCAACTCAAAGGACCCCAGGGAAGGTTTACAACAAATCAATGTTGAAATGCAACAATCTTAGCAGAAAATCCACGAAAAATTTAAATTTAAAATTGCTAACAAACACATTTTGATGGGCAACATTTAAACGTATAACTTGAGGGGCGCAAAGCATCTTAAGTGCCTAATTTCTGAAATGTCTAGTTCAAGTCCTGAATATATAGTCTACTACAGAACGCTTAATGTGTTCTATTGATGAACTATATTGAATACATAGCGTGCCTACACCAATCAAATGTCTGACTGTGGTTTTCTAAAATAATTTACGTAATTGCAATAGGAAGTAGGGAAGTTTATTCATTAGGTATGAACTTGGACGAAGAGTAGTTTTAGACAATTAATGGGAAAATTCGTTATTAGTAAAAAACAACTGGTTATTCAATTGATATTTTTGTCAAGTTAATTTTACTAAATGTTAAAGAAAATAATGAAAACAAAAAAAGATATTTTAGGTCTTGGCAAAGACTCAATTCCTTTGACAAAACTAAATATGTTATAAAATGCTCAAAAAAAATATTTGGAAAAAAAAATACTTTTTATTAAACCATTCCTCTTATATGCATTTCTAGTGCGTAAAAAAGCTCCAAAAATTTCAAATATTCAAATTTTAGAAATTCTAGAAACTTCACTTCCAGAAATTTCAATTATCCAGAAATTCCAGAAATATCACCTTTATCCTACTTTAGACATTCTAGTATTTTAGATATACTATTTCAGAAATTTAAATTTCTTACTCCCGAAATTCCCGAAATCCATTTATGATCTAATTTTGTATACTCCTAGTGATAGCAGTCCCCAGAGTAAGCGAAGGAACGGGAAGGAGAACACCGAGACCAGTGAAAAGAGTGACTCGGAGAAAGGACGGAAAAAGAAAACTTCTGATGAAGGATATTCTTCTCCTACCAAGAGCCCTCTAAAGGTACAAGGTGTTCCAAACAGTATGACGATTAAAAATTACTGTTATTAGATAGTCCTTAATCTTTGATAGTTATTTTGTGACAAACAATGTATCAAAATAAAATTACACAAGTTATGTTCACCAATAAATGCCGCAATTTATTTCAAGAAGACGACATCTATTTTGTTTCCGCTGAAAAGTTTTTAATAAAGATTCTAAATTTAAAAGAATTGTATTTTTTAAAATTAAATGAATTTAAGGGTCGCTTGGTACGGACACGAGGAGAACTAGATCAAAAACCCGCCAAAAAAGATTTCACCGTAGATATCTTCACTGTGAAGAAGGAAGTGGAAGAAGACCAAACCAAATCAAAGCAGGTGAAAACAAATGGCGGTTAAAATGCAAAAAAGGTCGGCTTTACGGCAGATTTACGGATTGGAAAAAGGGGTTTAATACAAAAAACGGTGGAAAAAATTATCAAAATAAAAAATACAGAGAAACATTAAGTTAAAAAAAATAAATTTGTATTTGCCAAGGAGAACCCTGATGAGGAGAGTTCTGAGGATAAAAGTGATAAACTGAAACCTACTCCACCCACACCCTCACATGGAGTCAGGTAGTTGAAAGGGACTGTTCCTGTAATTTTAAGTGACCCTCCAATTCACAACATTCCGCGATTCACAACGTTACACTTTTTTCTGATCAATAATGTACAAGATATCGTTGTTTTTCTAGCTTGAAAAGTGTTTAATTCTTACAATTCTTCCATTTTAGTCTGGAGCAGTGATAAATATCTTAATTAGGTACTGTTGTGAATCGGACATACCACTCGTTCAATACGACTTAATCTACAGTCCCTTCAAGATGGGATATCCCTTCAAGATTGGATATCCCTTCAAGATGGGATATTCCTTCAAGATGGGATATCCATTCAAGATGGGATATCCATTCAAGATGGAATATCTTTTTTATTTTTCATTTCTTTCTCTAAAAATAAGCAGACAAAAAAAAATGACCCTCCGGGATATGATAATTTGTCCCGAATTTTGCATTATTTTTTTCAAAACCAGCCGGGGTTATAAAAATATTTAATAAAGGAATTGAGTTTTTGCAACAAACTTAAATTCATTAACCCATATATCTTTGCAACCTGATGGTTTAAACCTTTGATATTTCAAAGTTAGACTATTTGATCTACCAGAATTAATAGTTTGAAATATCAAAGGTCTAGGAAAACGGGTGCTATGTTATTAGAATTAGAAAATCTAAGTTTGTGGCAAAAACTCAATTCCTTTATGTGAAGTAGGAAAATAATGTCATTTCAATATTTCGTTCTAATTTTCTCCAAATGGTATGTTAGATTAAAATTGGAAAATCGATATTAAAGACATTTAAAGGTCATTCATTAAATATTAAATATATAAACCAGATTAAACGGGAAAAAAGTGGAACCAGTTAATACCTAAAAAGGACATTCTATTGTTGCCAAAAAACATACATGCCTTCACCTTTTTTTTAAACGTTAAATAAACTAAATTGTAAGATAAGTTTACAGCGAAGCATTTTTTTCATCTTAACTATATTGTAATAAGCAATCAAAGAGTCTCATTTACGAAAACAATTTTTTTTATATTATTTGCACAGTTATTATTTTAAATATGCGGAAAAGAATTTGGCAAAGCTTCCATAAAATTCCATGAACCTCAGGTCAAAATATTAACATCTTTTTATCCAACAACTTTAGCTGTGGGATATACGCCTACAGCTTGGGTTTCCAGCAAAAAGGGTGAATTGTTTCCAGCGTTTCCTTCGCTCGCGGAAAATACAAAATTATAACACTTATTGTTTTAGTGGATTTTTTTTCTAGGGAAGGTTGAAAAAAATGCCAAAAAATATTGTAAATTTTTTTTTGTTTTAAACAAATATCAAAGTGTGACACATTTGTCTACATCCATTTTTCAAGGGCTTTTAACACAGACCGGACTTTTTACCGCCCTGTACCCAATTCTAAGCATTAAAAAAACAAATTTTACAAAAAATCCTTTTCTATTCATTTAAGTAAAAAAAATTCAANGCTCTGCCTGTTTAGGTTTAATATAGATTATTGTGCTTAGTGTGAGAGAAAGAAGCTGGGTGAGGATGAGAGAAAGGAGAAGGAGAGGTTGCTGGAGGAGCAGATGGAGAAGAATAATGTCTCATACATGGATCATTTAGGTAAAACAGATTTTACCCGAACATGTTGACAAATGACGCCCTTAAACCCTTTTCATTTAACGATTTGAACGTTGAATTCGGATATTTGTCTAAATATTTTGTCGATCATTTTTAGGTAAAACATTGGAGATAAAGGGTTACCTACAATTTGAGACTTTAAAGACGACCTGAAACACTTTAAATTTAACGATTTGAAGGTTAAATTTGGATTTTTGTCTTAATTATATCTTAGGTAAATGCAAGCTTACATGGACCAAATTGAATGAATTTGAGCTCGGTCGCTGAATTAACCACCGTTGCGTTGATTCAAATTTGGTCTGCAATGTATATTTATCATCTATAGGACATGAAAAAATGCTGAATTACCAACTCAAGAAATATATACGTGGTTCACGCGTATACATGGTTAAACTATTGAAATGAAATGTGAATACAATGATTCTTTTTTCTTTTACTTATCACAATGCTCCAATTTTCAAACAAGCAAAAGTGTCCAATTTTAAACTGTTCTTGCCTTTTTAATTTTTGTTCTACATACCTCCAATGGATGGAAAATGTTCTATAAATTTCAAAAATGTCCAATTATTTTAAAAATTGAACCATGGAATTCGAGCAATATAATTTCAGTAGAAGTAAATATTTCCATTTACTGGTAGCGCCGATGGAAGGATTCATATCTCTAATTGGATAATGAGATAGATAGTAAGATAGATGTAACCGCCATACTATTTCTATTGGTTCAGAATAGACAACAAACACATGGCTGAACCCTGATTGGATCAGGCGCTAATGGACTCGGCATACTTGAGTGGGAGATTGCATACAATGTATAAAAGAGCGCTTTGTCTCAAATATTTTAAACTTTTTGGTTTTTCCATTCATTTTCACAATAATATTTTTCCTACTTATTTTTGGTAGAACAATCTAGGAAACATTTTGTTTTTAACTGTCCGAATAATATTCTTATTACCGGAAATAAAACTGTTTAACTCAAAAAGTAGAAGAAAACCAATGCATTTTGCCAACATAAAGTGCATAAAGGAAACTATTTGTTATGGCAAACTTTTTGCAAAGATCCCCGGTAATCTTGCAGAAAACATCTATTCTTAATTCAACTTCTTGTTATTACAACGAATTATGTGGAAGCACTCAGATGAGGGCTGGAAGGCAAGCCACAACAATTCTTCGTCCGAGCCACATTTTTCTCATCCAAACTACCTCTAAAAGTTCATCCTTGGAATATTTGTCTTATAAAGTATTAACTTCTTTGGGGTTAAATCTCTAATTCTATATAATTGTGTTCGCTTTGAAACTATGCTATCAATTCTTTAAATTCTTCCAAAATAAATAAATTATAATTTAAACTTTGTCTGCAGATTTCTGAGAACTATTAAATAAAATAAATTGAAAATAAATATTATGACCCTGAGGTTAAAATGCATTTCTTTCTCCGCGGAAACACAAGTCAAAAAACTCAAGTAGATCCGGTATTCCCCAAATATCCAGGAACTAAAAATATCCAGGAACTAAAATATCCAGGAACTAAAATATCCAGGAACTAAAAATATCAAGGAACTAAAATATCCAGGAACTAAAAAAATCCAGGAACTAAAAATATCTAGAAACTAAAATATCCAGAAAATAAAATATCCAGGAACTAAAAATATCCAGGAACTAAAATATCCAGGAACTAAAATATCCAGAAAATAAAATATCCAGGAACTGAAATATCCAGAAGATAAAATATCCAGGAACTAAAAATATCCAGGAACTAAAAATATCCAGGAACTAAAAATATCCAGAAAATAAAAATATCTAGGAACTAAAATTATCCAGGAACAAAAAATATCCAGGAACTATAAATATCCAGGAACAAAAAATATCCAGGAACTAGAAATATCCAGGAACTAAAAATATCCAGGAACTTAAAATATCACGGAACTAAAAATATCCAGGAACTAAAAATACCCAGGAACTAAAAATACCCAGGAACTAAAAATATCCAGGAACTAAAATATCCAGGAGCTAAATATATTCAGGAACGAAACATATCCAAGAACTGAACTAAATGAGATCCTAACCCAACTAACCCCCCCCCCCTCCCTCTTTTTACCATGACTAAACTAACTACTTGACCAGGTTTTACTGACTAACCAACACATATATTTATTAACTACCTACACTACCTACCTGCCTCATTACTAAAGAGCTATCATAATTGCTTTTTGGCTTAAAAGATACTAAAGAGGAACCTTCAATTTTCGTATTTCTTAAGCGTTACTTCTGGTTATCTTGCTAATTAAGCCTCAATACGATTAAATATGAACCATATTTCCATTGCTAGATTCGGCCAACGCGCCTATGAAGCCTCAATAATATTTAAGGTGCACCATCGATGGCTTATCTTATTTTTAGTAATGTAAAAAAGGGAAACTCGCTCCCGTGTATGTTTATGTAAAAGCATGCACACTGTTAATTGTAGCATTTTCCAATAAGAGATAACACGCACTGTGGTTGTAGTATCTACAGTAATTTCCCAGAAAAGTATGCTATATTTCAATAAATAATTCATTTTTTTTTTCTCACGAACTGCTTCATTATCAATATTTGAATATAAACTTACCAACAACCCAGAAATGAAAAAAAACAGAAAAAAGTATCTGTTAAAATTGATTCCGACTTTATTAATTTATAATTGTATGTACATGATAACTCGTTAAGAAACTCTTGTGATAAACTCATATTTTTAACAATCTTGTAAACTATAATAACCATGATACGTAAATAAATATCTAGATTTTAAAAATATTCATAATATATCCATTTTACAATGTTCTACTGACTAACCAACACATATATTTATTAACTAACCATTTACAATGTTCTACTGACTAACCAACACATATATTTATTAATTAACTATTTTACAATGTGTTACTCACTAACCAACACATATATTCATAAAATATCCATTTTACAATGTTCTACTGACTAACCAACACATATATTTATTAACTAACCATTTTACAATGTTCTACTGACTAACCATCACATATATTCATAAACTAACCATTTTATAATGTTTTACTGACTAACCAACACATATATTTATTAACTAACCATTTTATAATGTGTTACTCACTAACCAACACATATATTCATAAAATATCCATTTTACAATGTTCTACTGACTAACCAACACATATATTGATTAACTAACCATTTTACAATGTTTTACTGACTAACCAACACATATATTTATTAAATAACCATTTTATAATGTTTCACTGACTAACCAATACATATATTCATAAACTATCCATTTTACAATGTTTTACTGACTAACCAAAACTTATATTTATTAGCTAACCATTTTACAATGTTTTACTGACTAACCAACACAAATATTTATTAGCTAACCATTTTACAATGTTTTACTGACTAACCAACACATATATTTATTAACTAACCATTTTACAATGTTTTACTGTAAAAGTAAAAGTAAAAAATTATTTATTTATGAAATATAACAAAAACATACAAAAAAATGTGTTTCACGAGAAAATATTTAAAAACCTCTAAAAGTAGAGGTTGTGGAAATATTTCCCCCCAATTCTAAAAAATATTAAATATAAATAATAGGAAAAGGAAAGGAAAGGATAAGGAAAGTTACATATTTATTGTTTACACTATATTTTACATAAAAATTAGTGGTGGATTGTTAGTATTTTTCGACGATGAACTCTAACCAATCCTTCACTCTAGCAGACGAAATATTACAGGTTTCCAAAAAATAAGGTATAAAGATGATACCAAAATCGTAACTGAATTCCCATATTAATCATGACCCTCTGTACATGTATTGTATCTGTAAAGAATGATTCTAGTATAGAAGTAGTTTGCTCAATACTTGTCAACTATAACAAAAGGTTGAATAATTTTACCTTTATCAATCCCTGGGCTTAACAATTAACCCCATTCTCACTTTAAATTAATCAAAACAAAAGAAAAAATTATGGTACCATTATTTATATTTCCGTTATTCACATCGCACACGCCCCAATTGATGATTTTGACTTGTTAAGTCGATAAAAAAATTTTGCAAAAAAAATCAATTTTTTCAGTTAATTAGCTTTTATGTTAAAGTAATTTTACTTGCATTTTTCCATATAATGATAAGAAAAAGGGGTTTTTATGTAAGAAATAGAAAAACTAATACAAAAAAGATGGGGGGGGGGGGAGCAAAGTGCAATCTGTAGATGCTTCAAAAAGAATTTCCAATTCTTAGGGAATAAGCTGAGGAAATCGATTTTTTAAAAATCCCGATTTTCTATTTTTTATAACAATTATTTAGTTACATAAAATGAACGACTGCACGGAATTTTTTAATTCTTTTTCATGAATTTATAGTTTAGCTTTAAACTGCTTAAAGATGCAGAATTTAACAATATCTTTTTTGAGATCTAGATATTTATTATCTCCGTATCGAGATTATATTAATTGTACAAAATTGTTCACATGTATTTAATACAACTATTTTACGATACTATCGTGTACATATATTCTTAAACTAAATAATAAAAAATCATACGGATACATTTTATCGTTTTTTCCGTTAATTAGAAATTTGGATTTAGGGATACTTGGATCCTGCAAGACATACAAATTGAAGAGTGTAACAATGAAAGTGTAGAGAATAAATTGCATATAATTAGTCGGTGACGAAGATTTTTTAAGAGTCGTCTGCATATAATTTGAGCATTTAATGAGGAAAATCAGTTTGAGCAAGCAATATAAAGTTTTTATGTAACAATGGTATAATGTCAATGTATGCAATATGGAAGAAACTACGATTGTACTGACGAAGAACATTGAAATTTCAACGTTGGTATGGCATTACATTAGTTAAACTATGTCGTCTTGATGCTAATTAGCCGACGTAATTATGGAAAACGATATATTTGAGGTACATACTGGCAAGGAACATTGATGGTTCCTTCCTGCATGTTCCTTTCTCTCTGTAGTTAATAATCTACACGGCCAACGTGACGATAGCAGGCACCAGAAACAAGAAGTGTTAAATGTGAAAAAGCTTGTTGGAGAAGCATTTAGTTTCAATTGGAACAAAAACACATTATGCTTAAGAACTAGACTCACGTAGAACATTGGTTCTGCGCTACTGTCTAGGACATTGAAAAGAGATCAGTGCTTAACCTCTTCATTTCTCAACAATTTAACAATATCAACCCTTAAATCATTATATTTTTTAAGTTTTAGGTCTTCAATAAAGTTTCATTTGTTGTGGTTACCCCTGTATTTGAAACTCGGAAGAAAACTTGTGGGAACTGGAATTGCTTCAGATTTTTATCTATATTAAGTATTTTTACCCGGGTTCAAGTGAATTCAACTTCCTTGCCTTTTATGCAGAATTTAGAAATGTAAATTAATAACATTTATTTAGCATTTTCATGATTTTAAAGAGACATGTTATCGTTTTTTTCTAGTGGCGCTTCCTTTAAAAAGCTTTATATGCCTAATTTATAAATCGCATGTTATCCTTTAAACCTTCCTCTGAACATTGAGTGCATTCTTGTTTTTTTTTCGGAAAATTGATAATTTTCATTGTGGTTTAAAAGTTATTTGCGAATTTATGCAATAGACAAAAAAAGTAAATTCTCAAAAGTAAAATTGTTACGGATACGCTTTTTAAATCTGGTGTGTAACTTCTTAACTGAGTGGTCACTTAAAATAACAGTTACAACCCTAATAAATAGAAAAAATGGGAAAACCAACAACTTTATAATATGGCATTTTAAATTAGTAGATTTTTCTTTAGGTGGGGCCGGCCCATCAAATCTGCAGCTTTGTAAAATAAAAAATGTAATGAAAGACGACTTTTTTGGACAAAATATTGTTTTGATTTTAGAATCAGTATTTACTTGTTCTAAGGTTCTAATACTTTTAACTGTGCAATCTAATGTTGATTATTCAAACTTAGATTATTTGATCAATCAGAATTTATAGTATAGTTACGGTCTCAGACATTTGGTTGCAAATATATAAGGATTAGACCATCAGAGTTTGTGACAAGGACTCAGTTCCTTTGCTTCCTATGTGTTATGTTGGAATAATATGTTTTTTTCTTCAAAGGAACATAATAGACAAGCAGACATTAATAATATTTTTATTCAGAAACATAATCGTAATCGATCAGAACAAAATATGTATTTAAAAACTCTTAATTATTAGTGCTTTCTATTTCTAGTGTATTTCTAACAAAGTCAACATAGCTGTAAAAATGTTCCTTGGTATAATAAATATAAACATTGTATTGTAAAAGTGAGTGCGAGGTTAAGCCAAAAGAAGTATCCTTATTAACGATTTAAGGAGTCCTCAAATCCACGTATAGCCGTAGTTTCAAACAAGCCTCAATTTCAAAGAGGAATGTCCCTTTTCATTGGTTTCCTTAAAGGGAGTGTTCGCGAAAAATGAAAGGGGGTATAGGTTTAATGAGATAAAAAAGCGCTTTTGATCGCCACTAATCTTACTTCTATCTGTTGCGTCTATAAGGAGAAAATTGTTAAGGACGTCTCATACCGAATAACATGGCGTCCATACAAATTGAGAAAATTGCAACATATGACTTAGACCGTAAAAAATCAATTTAATTTCAAACAAATCATTCAGATATTACAACCTATAGTCATCGATTATCTTTCGCCACATTTATATATATAGTTGATTTTTCATAATCTGTTTTAATTGTTATGATCTGAGAATTACTTATAAAAACATTTATTCCTGTTTCGAGGATTTTCGGTAATGAAGACGACATTTTCATATTTTCTAGAAATGTTCGAAAAAAAGTTGTAAGCTAAATATTATTTTAAAAAACAAAGTCAAAACTAGTATGAAATATTAAATATATACAAATGTGGCGAAAGATAATCGATGACTATAGGTTGTATTATCTGAATGATTTGTTTGATATTAATTTGATTTTTTTACGGTCTAAGTCGTATGTTCCAACTTCCTCAATTTGTATGGGCGCTACGCTCTTCAGTATGAGACGTCCTTATCAATTTTCTCCTTATAGACGCAACAGATAGAAGTAAGATTAGTAGCGATCAAAAGCGCTTTTTTTATCGCATTCAGCCTATACCCCCTTTCATTTTTCGCGAACACTACCTTTAACCCTTAACAGGCTGGGGGGGGGGGCGTTTGGCGCCCCCCTGTAGTTTTACTTTCTAGCACTCTCATTTTTTAAACTATCACCGTGGAAGAAAAGTATAGTCTGTGAAAAAAAAATCTAAAATAGCCTATAATTTTTTTTGACTAAAGCTACAGATCTAAAAACTATATATTTAAAAAGCCCTTGAAAAATGAATGTAGAAAAATGCCAAACGCCCCTTTCCCCGGCTATACATAGATTCAGACCCCCAGCCATATAGGGTTAAAATATCAATCCAAAGGAAAAATCTATTTGTTGATTTCCTTTAAAACTCCACGACCACAAGTCAACTTTTACAGAAGCCACAGTTTAAAATAATCCATTTTCAAAGGTTATAGTAAGAATGTCTCATGAACCTCCTTGATCAGGGAAAGATTAAAACGGTATGGTTGAGAACTGAATATGCCACTCTTTAAAGTTCGTTTAAAATTATTGGATTATACATGAAAATATACATTTTGCCTTTTATTATATAATAATAACTCAAGTCAGTAAACTTCTTACTTCTTTTGATTACAAAATTGAAACTGTCACCAATGATAAATTTATGAAATTGCACTAAAAGGTCAAAACTATTAAATCAAACTAATCCCCAGATTCACGAACAAAAGTTTTGATCTCAAGTTCCTTGTTTGAAATAATATAGGTGACAGCATTTAAGAGTTGCTATTTTATTAAATTGTTTTCTTTTTATATATTTAATATATTCAGTCCGAATTATAACCCAAAATCTTATAGTAAATTTCTTTGAAAATGTGTATTTCTTTAACTTTACAAATTGTCATGTTTTTTTCCTCTTCTTAAGATTTTGCTTCCCATGTATTACATTGAAACAGCAATAAACCTCTATTATTTATATAAAAACTGTGTAATTATGGTTCTGTCATGAAACCATTTTCATACTTTCTAATGAGGAAGTCTAGCCTACAATCATAATGATTAAAAAATAATCATTTTCCAAAATAAGAAACGTTGATATCTAATTCATGCTGGATCAGTCAACGCTTTTAACTGTGTCAATGTACCGTTTTAAATCGGGTATTGCCATCGTTGCATGGAGGGTTCCTTGAAATTACGCCTGAAGTGTTTTTTAAGTTGATTTAATTGCAGAAGAGGTTGATTTGAACGACAGCTTTGACGCAATCTGGCAGGCGCACATGCAACAGCTGCAACCATGTGGTACCTGCGGCAGGACATTCTTTCCAGAAAGGTACGTGGCATCCATCAATATAAAATTAATAAATTTTTCTATTAAAATAAAAAAATATATTTCTTTGATTTTTTTTAATAAAATGTTTTTGTCGTAGGTTGGTGATTCATGAGAGATCATGCAAGGTACAAAAGTTGTTTTTAAGATAACTGAATTTTTCTGAAATATCTCAAGTCAAACTGATTATTATTTTGTTTAGTCCAAGACTCCAAAAACAGCAGACCCTCAGATGAATCGACGCCCAAGACTTGGTCCAATTAGTCCAAAAGCAGAAAAACCGGTTCCAGAAAAACCGGTTCGAGACATTCCAGTCCAGTACTATCTGGCCAAATAGTGACCTCCCAGTAAATTTTTATATTCGAGTCTAACATGGCTAAAATATTGTTGTATGAATAGAGCTAATTTAATTCATTTGTATTAATTTTCAAAAAATCGGATGTTCAAAAAAGTTTGTTCATTACAGTGTTTATTTGAGTTTTTTAAACATATAAAACGATTAATTTTGAACATATGTATGCACTAATCTAGTTGTTTTGAATATAAACCGGTTTCTAATCAGAGCTACCTTCAGTGCTGTTGAGCGTTAGTTCAATCAAGCATTAGTCCAAACGATACAGCATCCCAAACAAATTCCTTTTTCTGATAAATCTGAAGTCATAGTAAAACCATCATCATCATTACGCTATAATTAAAAAACCTATTAATGTACACAGTGAATCTTATCGGTTTTTAACATTTTTTTTGTGGACACCCTTTTTCCAAATTAGATCATTTCTTTCTCAATGTCCACTGGACATTTATAAAAATGAAGAAGAATGTATTCTGGTGATAATGATTTTTACAAAACTTTTATAGAGTTAAAAATGAAAATTAGCCATTAAATCTATAGATTAATATTCCATTCTATTTTAAGTAGCTATGCCAACATTTACCAGTAAGCTTAAATTAGATAATATATTCTATATAAACAATAAACATATTTAAAGACTTCGATCCAATAATTTTGTAAACTGGGACTGATTTTAAGACTAAACATTTTTTTGAATTAAAGCAAATATGAATTTAGACCCAAAGAGAATAGAATATATATTAGAGTGGAATTTAGACAATCCCTCGGTATGGATTTTGTCAGTCCCTTTCAGCCTGAAAGGGAGTTCAAAGTGCACAAATCATGTAAATGTTCACAAATTATATGCAGTAGAGAACATTAATACAGCATGTTCCCTAGACTATCAATTTCAATTTCGAATTTTTTAAAGCTGTTAAATAAACTTTATAAAATAATTATTAGGTGAATAAAAAAAATCTTTTAATTTATAGTTATAACGGAAAACTATCGTTTGTAAAGTGGAAGGCATAGAGTCTATGTGAAATGATCATTGGTCAATTATGAAACCAGCCTATTTCATTATTTGGTTTTCTTTTAATATTAATTTTAGATTTTCTATAAACTGATGTTCCAGGACTCAAAAGGTTATATAGCATAAATATGTGAAGCACACCTGCAGTATGGAAACAGTACAACAAAATGGCCGTTCTACACTTTTTTCTAGTAAATTCCACTCTTTAATATATATTCTATTATCTAATTGTTTAGACCCCCCCCCCTTCCTTGCTAAAAAAAACCGCTTTCTAGTTTTTAGATTTAGCCCCTGATTTCATGTTAACGATGTAATTTCTAAGTTTTGAAACATCAGCAAAGTGCTAACTGTCAAGAAGTGTAATAATGGTTATCTTACAGGGTGTCCCATCAAACATAGAACAGATTACAGACGACTTTGAAATCGTCTTTGATCATTTATATTATACAATAGCCAGTGCATTTTAAAAGACAAAACAAAAAGGTGTAAAATTAATAAATTTAGTTAAAAACAAATAGAAATCGGACTGAAATTCTACATCATACATGACAGTTGGTGAATAGTTTAAAATGTCTTCTTCAATATTTTGTTTTGTTGTTTGATACCAAAGAGAATAATAAAAATATATGGCAGTCATATTATAGTAAAATTGATTTCAAAATAAAATATATTTGAGTAACAGATATTTTTAACGAAATAAACTGCAAGAAATCTTAAATATCTAATACAGTATTTGGAAGAAGACATTCCAAACTATTCACCAATTGTCATTTTTCGTGGGACACCATGTACTTGCAAAATTAGGTTGAAAACTGAATGTCTCAAATTAAATGATCAAAGACGACCTGTAATGGTAGTCTTTTAAATGTCATATGTTTACTGGGATAACCTGTATGCATTAATTTTAACTATCATATGTTTACCGGGATACCCTGTATATGGATTAATGTAAAAAGGGGGAATGGGGGGTTTTGTACACATTATATTGTGACGTATTATGAATGCTAACAACTTTTGGCGTAGTCAGGGGGGGCTGGGGGCTCAATTCCCCCCCTGGATTAATGAAATCCATGGATTTCAGGTGGGTTTGTGCCCAGAAATTTAACCCATCCCCCTTACGGACTAGTTCCTGACTAATCCCCTGACTAAACCCTCTAAATCCCATGTTTTATGTTCAAATATGACAAATGATACATCATTAGAAAGCTCTTGTGCTCTACTTTTAGAATCTGCAAAAAAATTTGCAAATTTGCGAAAATTGAATTTTTTATCGCAAAATCCAGTTTTATAGTAAAAATGTTTGCAAAAAAAAATTTGTCCAAAAAATGAAATATTATACATTTTTGAAAAGTCTGAAAGGGACTGAAAAAATTCATACCGAGAGATTCTTTTAATTCCTCTCTATATATTCTATTCTCTATGGTCCTAATACGTACGTAAACCATAGTGATCCAAAATCTTATGAACTCATGTATCCTATACTTGCATATATTAAACATATATATTCATGTGAATTGTATGTAAGTACTTTTTTAACCATGAATTGATATTTACATTGTTTACATGAACATAAATGGAAAATGCTTTCACAGATACAATTTGTATATGAAATATAAAGCTTTATTTGTTTAAAAAAATTGAAAAGTGTATTTAAAAAAGAACGGTTGTTCGTGATGCTTAAGTTTCAAAAATGACATTTTTTGGGGCGTTTAAAAACGGTCGTTTTCAAAAGCTATCGTTTTTAAATACGACTGTTTGTAAGAAATGAAAAACGGTAGTTTTTTAAACAATTGTTTTTAAAACGATCGTCTCGTCTTTTTTCTTCGTCGTTTCATCACATTAATCGCTGTTTACCTTTCATAAATTGGCTGATGAAATATTCGCGAATAAAGTAAGAAAAGCAAGTAATATATCAAATCAAATCAAATTATATATTTAGCCATAAATTATACATGTAAAAATGGATATTTATAATTACATCAGTTTATTACAGTTTCGGAACTAGCCGAAACTGTTTTCAGTCGGTCTCCTGTACAACAGACAGTCTTTTAAACATAAATTTAACTTGAAAACTTTCACAAAATTAGATTTAGAAAGATTGGAGCTTCTGGCAGAGAGAGGGTAGGATTCCTTAAGCATTTAAAATAGAAGATATGATTCCTAGCTGAAAAGATCCACAGGCTGGTCAAGTGTGAAAAAAGCTATAATTTGAAATTAAGTATTTGAGCAACTGCAACAATAAAGTTTTTCACAATTAAAGTCCGAATTTTTTTCAAGCAAGAATTTTTTAACACCAAGTTTAAACTCAAGCAAATCAGGGGCGGATACAGGGGGGGGCGGTGGGACATTCGCCAACCCCTGACAGATTCAGGGAGGGGCGTAGCCCCCCCCCCCTGAATTTGGAATTTTTTGTTCCTATTTTCAGAATAGCTTCTCAATAGAATGCTTAAGGGAAAGAAACCCTAGTGCAAAACAGGAAAAATATCTGTCTTAATAAACCTAGTTTTTTAGTCTTTAGTATTAATTTTGAGTCTTTTAAAGTATTTTAAGTAAAAAAAATTTTCGCCTGCAGCGCAATTTTTTGTTCCTAAAAATCTTGCCCCCCCTCACTTAAATCCTGTATCCGCCCCTGCCAAGCTTACTCTCAATTTGTTGAATATAAGGATCAAAATTATTCCATAGCAAAGTCAAGCTGAAAAAAGGAAACTTTTTAAGAAATAATTATTGACCCTCGGTAGAAAAAAATCATCAGGATTTCTAAACAGACAAGGGAAGCCAACCAGCCAGCCAGCCTAGCAGCTTAAAGGGACTGTAAAGGGAAAATTAAAGGGGGTATAGGATGAAACCTAAGCATTTTAGGAGTATCGAGACCCATGAGAGTTCTATCTATGTTCCTGTCTCAAGAAATATATATATATATATATATATAAAACTGTTTCAAATTTATACGTAAATCCATATATATAAAATTTGTTGTATAAAAATAGTGTGTTAAAACGAATGATTCAGCAAATAAACAACCAATCTGAAAAAAACAATAACCCAGAGGAGCCTCAGAATCTTTGGTTTGCTCCTATTATTATCAAAATAATAACATTCTTTATTTCATCACAAATAATTGATAATATAATAAATACGTCCGTATTACGTGACCAGAACTTCCACCAATGGCAGTGTGGTATACTGGTCACGTGAAACAAACAGAGTCACATGATAATGATTCTGCACTGCCATTGGTTGGAGTTCTGACCACATGATATGGATGTATTTATTATATAATCAATTATCTGTGATGAAATAAAGAATGTTATTATTTTGATTTTACACCTATATTAATGTTATTTTGTAATTGGACCTTTACGGATATAATCACATTGTTTTTTTTTTAAATTTTATTTGACATGCATATTCAATCATTGTACAGAAGGTATAATGCAATTCATGTTTCTTTATCAAAGGTTTTATTTTTACAATAACAATTCCTGCTTTTTCCAGCAATTTTATTAACATTATAACTTACTAGCTGGAGAGCCCGGCATTCTCCGTGGATAAAAAATTTGTCAAACAATTTTTTTATGCCTACAACACTCCCCATCCACCCATGAGTGTCCACAAAAAATTTCAGCCCAATCGGTCCAGCCGTTTGACCGCCTATATGGGGGGAGGCAGACCCCCAATTTCTAGGCGGTGCCCCCAATTTATAGGGGAGCACCGCACTGATGTAAATAGTGAGCTAGAAGTAGTTTAGTAGGTAAGGCTATACAGAAATCACTGTATGGTCTATGAAAGGCAACAAATACTTGCGCTAAAGTCTATGAGAGTTTTGCCATTAACTTTTTTAAAACTAAAGCTATAGAAAGAAGCAGCAGTCTAAAATCTATGTTTTCACCTAGATCATGAATATTCTATTTTTACCATTACATCGCATGACATATGCCGCCAGAAAAACAAGATTTCATTTGGGCATTTTATGACAATTTTGCTGGTTATTCATTATTTCTTTGAAGTCATCAGTTAGAAAAGTTTCTTTTATCATTTTGAAAATACTGATCTAAAAAACTAAAGAATAAATATTTCATTTATTAAAATTTCTTAACCCTATTCCGATTAGGCTCTTTTGGTTTAATAAAGATTGGTTTTGCGTTGACATTGAGGAGTGTATTACAAATCTCTAGGCCACCTCATTTAACAAATTATACATTGTAAAGGTGCGAGGGAGGCTTAAGAAAGAACTCGAAAAGTACGTCGGTAAATGTTTTTCGAAATCATTTTATTTTCGACAAAACACGTGACACATGGTCCTAAATCTATTTTTTACAGGCTTTTAAAGTGAAGAAACTTGAGCGTTCTAGTCTAAGCCGTATTTCAGTTTGGAGAAAAAAACCCTTCCCTTTATCTTTGTTACCCAATGTCGCAGACCTTACATAATTAAAACCATAAATTATAAAGTTTGAGATATTTATCAAACCGTACCATCAGGTTGCAAATATATAGAAATAAGACCATTTGAGTTTGAGGCAAAGACACAATTCCTTTATGAGTAAATTAACCTTATACCTGCTGGGGTACNTGATGGGGTACTTGAAATCCCATGATACGCTGGGGAGGTCAATTTGTTTTACCCTCCCTAAATCCCATGTTTGATGTCCAAATATGACAAATAATACATCATTCGAAAGCTCTTATGCTCCAATTTTAGAATCTGCTAAATAATTAGCAAATTTGCCAAAAAAGGATTTTTTTTGCAAAATCCAGTTTTTTAGTAAAAATGTTTGCAAAAAAATATGTCCAAAAAATGATAAAATATACTTTTTTGAAGAGCCCTTGACCATGCCATTTTAAATATGCAAAAAGTTAGCAAAAATTTATTTGCAAAGGTGGAATTTGTTTAATCATGTCATAGGCCCTCAAAAAACTAAAATTATCAAAATCTGACAGCTGAAAGTGGTCAAAACAAAGATTTAGTTTGTTAAAGGAAAGAGTAGTCATTCAGGCAGTGTGACCGAGGACTCAGGCAGTTAGTATAAAAGTCCGGTTATAGACATAAAGGGAGGGTTATGGTTATTTAGGAAAATTCAGTAGATTTGACCTGACTCCTCCCCACAGCTACACCATACAACTTTATGTTTTCTTGTATGGTTTAATGTAATGGTTTAAATTACATAATATCATGCAAAATTTTCTTTTAATTTAGAAAAGGCCAGGACTAGGAAAATTTTTGTGATTCTTGTAGCAAAAATTATTTCAGAAATGTTGACAAAAATGCCGCAAATCCTTGATTGAAGACGATCTTCACTTACTCCAATGTCATGTTTTGTTGGACACCCTGTAACTCAGATGTGCTCTGTTGGACACCCTGTAACTCAGATGTGCTCTGCTGGACACCCTGTAACTCAGATTTGTGAGCAATCAATAAAATCCAAAAAAAATAATGATAAGAATAAATCTGCTTTCAAACAGCATGGATACATTTAAACATCAAAACAAGAAAATTATAAGCTTTTCTTTTTTTACTTGTTTGTAAACTTGTTATTTGAAGAAAGCTTGTTAGAAATCAAAATATAAATAGGAAAGTCGGCTTCATTATCTATACATAAATTTAGCTTGTCTGGGTGTCTGTTTGTTTGTATCAAATAAACGTCAAAACGGCTGAACCGATCGGGCCCAATTTTTTTGTGGGATCTCGCGTGACCTTCGGGAAGTTTTATGAATGATAAAAATAAAAAATAAAAAAAGATTTTTATTTTTACAAAAAATTTTAAATCCAGAAAATCAGCAATTTTTTTTTATAAAATCAACGAATGAAAAACAATGAGAGCAATGTTCATAATTGAAATAGAAGATGGGCGCAAATTGCGCCCTAAAAGCCTAATTTTGAATTCCGAACGCCGTTTTCTTTGCTGTATAACAACATGAAATACACTAAAGGATTGCTAAAATGTCGTCTTCCTATTCCACTGTTTTCTGGTTCTCCCTGTAAAATAAGTAATTTTCATTTTGTTTTCTGTATGCAGTTTAATATTTCTTAAATGTTGTAGTCATAAAACTAATGTAACCCTGTATTACAATAACCGTGTTAAGGATTAGATTAAACAATATAATTATGTCAATTATACAAGTTTAAGTCTTGTGATTCAAAGAGTTTACAGCGTTATATATATTGTATCGGCACTGCAGCAGGTTTGTATCATTAAATAAAGACAAATTAATTTTTATCCTTAGTGAGCATTTCCTTTTCCTTCCTCCTATACATGGGGCATCACTTTCGTTCAGGCTCGTAGCTATGGGGGGCACAGGGGCACGTACCCCCTTTTTTACCCCCGAAGGGTGTAGGGGCACAGGGGGGGCACACTTTATGAGACAAAAAGAAGAAATTTAAAAAGGAAAAGAAGGAAACAAAAAAAAAGAAAGAAGGAAAAATTGGGAGAAAATTTTTCTTTAAATTATAGAAAAAATGTAGTGCTTTCTGAAATAGATTATTTGGGAATTTTTAATTCTATCCTGTCGTGTGAAATGAAAGGGTATAAATAATTTTTTTGTAATTTGAGAAGTTTATACTTTTCCTTTCTTTTCTTAGATTAATGATTCTATAGAACCATCGTACCGCAAATTGTAACATGGAGACCAATTTAAATTATATTTAAATTATGGCCAGTTCAAGCTCAAGCTTGCAGGAGAGTTTTTTTTTTCGAATTTTCGAGAAAACTGAAGATTTTCATCCTTGAGCTTTTCTTGATCTTCATTCAGGGGCGGATACAGGGGGGGGGGCGTAGCCCCATCCCTGAATTTGGAATTTTTTGTTCCTATTTTCAGAATAGCTTCTCAATAGCATACTTAAGGGATTGAAACCCTAGTGCAAAACAGGAAAAATATCTGTCTTAATAAACTATAATGTGTGAAAAGTTAAAAATCTAGTTTTTTAGTCTTTAGTCATTAATTTTGACTCTTTTTGAGTCTTTTAAGTCAAAAAAAAATTTCTCCAAATTATGAATTTTTTTTGTTCCTAAAATATCTTCCCCCCCCCCCCCCTTCACTTAAATCCTGTATCCGCCCCAGTCTTCATTGGCATTTACAATTACATCCTTTACTTTTCTTGATCTTTACGGGCATTTACATCCTTTACTTTTCCTGTATTAAAACTAAGTATTGGCTATTCGTGATTCAAAAATGCTCAGTAGAACATTAATATAGTTTAAGTCAAATATCTACATCTATTAACTCCAGTTTTTGTTTTGTTTCGAATAAGATGCAAATAGCTTCTCAATTGCGCTGAAGGGGAAAAAACGGCAAAATATCTTTCTAAATAAACTATAGTGTGGGATAAATTAAAGATCTAATCTTTTAGTCTTCATTTATTGATTTGGACCCTTATTGAGTTTTTCAGGTCAAACAAATGTTCGTTAACGGAAATCCTCACTATGACGTTATCATGAGGTGATTTTTCTGTTTCCTTTCAAACCTATCATTCCTTTCTTCCACTGTAGAAATCCTCATTATGACGTTATCATGAGGTGGATTTTTCTGTTTCCTTTCAAACCTATCATCCCTTTCTTCCACTGTAGAAATCCTCATTATGACGTTATCATGAGGTGGATTTTTCTGTTTCCTTTCGAACCTATCATCCCTTTCTTCCACTGTAGAAAATCCTCATTATGACGTTATCATGAGGTGGATTTTCCTGTTCCCTTTCTAACCTATAATCTTTTTCAGGTTCCAGTTTAGGAAATCCTCATTATGACGTCATCATGAAGTGGACTGTACTGTTCTTGTACTCTGGATTTGGCGGATTTATCTCTGCCCGTGGTGGTAATTATTGGAGCGAAGATTACGATTCAGGTATAATAAGAAAAAAAAAGAATGTTCTAACAAAAAATAAGACGTTATAGTTTTATTCTTTTAAATTCCTTTGTTTTAATACCTTCTTGGTATAATTCTTAATATCAAATATCTGTTATAAAAATACAAAAATATTAAGCAAAACTATTTTTAACCATAACAAACTTATATTATTACGATTAAGTATAAAAATTGCAAATATATACAATTTCCTAATTTATAGAAATATTACACTGCAAACCATGATTTGCACACTCTCATGCAAAAATCAGTATTTTGCCCATTACTCCTGTTATATTTATGTAAGAAAAAAATGCTTCACATCTAAAAAATGTATTTGCCTAAACCAACAAAAATTAAAATTAAGTTGTGGCTGGGAAGAACCAAAGGGCAAGGCATTGCATAACTTTATATCTATCTAGTATATCTAGTCCTTAAGTTTTTATTGGTGCAGTACATGTTGGCTCATAGATTTTGAAAAGCTTGACCTACGTTTGTTTGTTTATCTTGAAAGAATTTTTTATAATTTTGTAATTCGCCAACAAATAATGAAGTGCAAAAAATAATGATGTTCAACAAATAATTACGTTCAACGAATAATGACGTTCAAAAAATAATTACGTTCAACAAATAATGATGTTCAAAATAATTATGTTAAGAAATTATGATGTTCAAAAAATAATAATGTTCAAAAGGCCAAATGAGCCTTGTGTGGTGGATTAAAAAAGAAGTGTTTTTTATAATAATATTTGTAACTATTCATATTATGATAATTTCATCAAATATTAAATTCGATTTACTATGTAAAACAACTTGTGTGACAAAAATGTATTCTTATTGTTTTCGTTTTGGTTTAATAAATCCTTTTTTCAGATAAGAACTGTAAAGACGAGGAATTAATTGTAAAAATAAAACAAGGAAAAGTAAGCAAAGTAACAAAATTATAAATTAGATTCGATTCAAATATTATAAGTTTAATTGATTTGATATGATTAATCGTAAACTTTATATCAGACCCAGATATTGTACAAAGAATTTGAATCTTTGCCACAAACTGTTAAATTATAACATCTATAAGTTTGAAATATCAAAGGTTTGCCCCATTAGGTTGGAAAGATAAAGGGATTGGAAAATTTGAGTTTACGCAAAAAAGAATAGATTTGTATTGGTCTAGTAAAGATGTCATCTTTTCTAAAAAATGCTTTTTTGAAATTTTTAACGCATTGCGCGTGATGCCAGTAAAGAAGACGGTTTTTTATTGAAAAATGTTTTGCATAGAAATGCTGCATTTTTTAATAAATCACTTATAAAACATTCGGCCATGCTTTTTTTGTTGCAATGTTTACTCTTTTTTTAGATATGATTTCTCTTAGCAATTAAAAAAAGTTTATATTCAAATTAATATCATTAATTTTCAACCAATTTTAACTCATAAAAGAACTTAGTTTTTGCTACGAATTCTGATTTCTCCTCTCTTTATATTGGCAACCTGATAATGATATTTTAAACTAAAATTATTTGAATTCATAGTTTAAAATATCTAAGGTTTATATAACATTGGTTTGCAAAGATATGGGTTTGAGAAAATCAGTTTTCCGAGGCGGGATATTTTATGTTTGAAAGCTCTATAGCTTACGAACCTCGGGTATAAGTAATTTCCTAGAGAACGATTTTTGGCCCCCCCCCCCGCCCCCCCCCCTATCAATTTTGTAAATAAATCTTAAATGTAAGACATGTGGCCGCAGCGCGGTCGGCCCCCTATCCTTTCCTAGCCGCAGCGCTCGGCCCTAACCCTAAATAAATACTAATTTAATTGAAAATTGTTTAAAAAGTGGTCATGTACAAAATTATATATAAAAACCTACAAAACGGCCAAATTATTGCAGATAAATATTTAGGCTAAAGGATTCTGCGAAACAGAGGTGGGAGAGCTCAGTGATGTCCAGGTATTCGCGAACAAAGAGTGATTCCTAAAACTAATTGCATATTGATTGTTTTTATCATTTTATTTCTTTTTTATTAGGTTTTCAACAGATGTAAGATAAAGCTGACAAAAACTTTGGGAGAAAAGTGTCGAGCTACGACAGTCGAAAAGGCAACATTTTAAAATCATTTCATTCATTTGAAATTCCTCAATTTAAATATTTGTAAGTTAATTATCTATTTCATATATATATAAAGGAATTGAGTCTTTGCCACAAACTCTGATTTTCTAATCACTATATCTTTGGAACCAAATGTTGCAGACCTTAGATATTTCAAACTATGAATTCTATTAGATCAAATAATCTAAGTTTGAAATATCAAAGGTTTACAACATCGAGTTCTAAAGATATCGAGGTTTAAATATTTGATTTTGTTTCGAGGACTCAATTCCTTTATTGTTTTTGTTATTGTTTTTTTGGTCCGATTTGCCTCAACTTTTGACTGGGGAACTTTTTAGAACCACGGGAATGTTTAATTTACAGCCAACGCTGGGTTTCCAATCTAGTCAAATTTTTATTATTCGGCTTGTTGTTTAGGCTGGTGAACTATTGTACTGCAAAAATCAAAAACAAACAATTGTCTGCTCTCACAAATACAAATGTACTAAAGACTGGACAAAAATCAACAGTGGGTTCAAAGACAAAGCCGTGGCTTACTTAACTAATAAGGTGCATTTAAAAACTTTTTTTCGTTTAAAAAATTTCGTTTTTTCGTTTTAAAAAACCCCAAAAATACAATTAAAAGGTACAAATTTTCTAATTTTTGTTTCTTTTCAAAACTCTGAACGAAACTTTTGATATTGGAGAACCAACTAAGTCAATGATTTCAAGGACTTTTTAACACAAAAGATACAGTTTCTGATGTCGTAGACCTCTGATATTTCAAACTATAAGGTGTTAACTAACTGTAAATATAAAAAACCAGGTTTACAAAAAAATCCAGAATTTGGGGATGATATGAAGTTCATTTTAAGAAAAAATTAAGCAAAAAGATGAATAGCTTTATGAAAATAAACCACAAACTCAAATCTTCTAAAACCTATAATATTTGCAATCTGATGGTGTGAACCTTTTTATATTTAAACTATGAAGTCTAAATTTAAAATATTAATATCATCAAACATAATTCATAGTTTAAAATATCGAAGGTTTAAGACTTTGGGTTGAAAAGGTAGGGATTAGAAAAGTTTGCTGCAAAATGTTTCTTTTGGCAAAAATTATTCTACATTTGTTTAGACTGATTGGTTGAATAAAGAAAAAGAGAAAGGATACGGTTCTTGCCGGGATCTGAATTCAAGTAGGTCGGGAAACATAGAAAAATGAAAGAAATTGAGACCTTACCACGAACTCTGATTTTCTAATTACTATATCTTTGCAACCTGGCAGTGTAAACCTTTGAAATTTTAAACTTTGATTATTTGATTCAACAAAATTCAAAGTTTGAAATATTTAAGTTTACAACATTGGGCATGCCAAGTGACTTGGACTAGACAATCAGAGTTTTTGGAAACATTTCATTTTAAAGATAAGTTTTTTAATTCGATTAAATTGGATTTGTGGCAACTTTTAACTCCTTAGAGGGGCTGGGAGGTCTTTATCTTTATTTCCTTTTTAAAGCAATGTTATTTTTAAAATGTTAGACCTATAACTAAGTGGTAAGTGTAAAAGAAAAGTTAAAAACTTTTTAACAATAATTATCATCATGTCACTGCATGCTTTTAATGACTTTTAAAATATATCAACAATTTAGATCTGCAGGTCAATAATGTAAAAAGGGTATTTTAGTATTTTTATGGTCTACCTGCTGCCGTCCTTGTCCCTCCGCATAAAAAGAACAAATTTTTTTTCTTTAAATCCTCTATCTGATATTTAATTCTCTACAATTGTCATGCATATAAGTATTCTAATTGACAATTAGAATAAAAAGATATGGTGTTAAAATCATGTTGTCTTAAAATTTTTCCCTATAGGTCTAGATGCTAGTGTGTGTCTAAAAGATTGCAAAGATTTTGAAAAGTCTGATTTTGCAAACAGTTGCAAAAAAGACGGAGGATTTTTTAAATGCTGCATCAGGAAACCAAATTTTAACAATTTGTACAATAATGCTCTTGACACTAGAACAGTACATAAACTTTTCTCGTTAGTTCATAAAATTGGAAATTATTGCAAATGTCTAACATTAAGCACAAAACGTGTCAGACCTATTCACTGAAAACTCAGTACACCAAATATAACATTTAAAATTGTAAAAATGGCAATGAATTCTCAAGGTTTTAAATATTTCAATCCAAAATTATAAGTTTTAAATACCGGTTTTAAGACTAGGCGAGATAAGGCAAACTGCCATGAGTGCCGGTTTTGCTGTACTCTCCTAATGTGTACTACAACACCTAGTCCTGGAGGTAAGCTTCCATTACCTGCCACAAAAGAAGTTCTTTTTTTATTTAATTTGACTCTGGTGAACGTAGACAGCAGCTTTTACACGAACTTGGTTACCCATAGAGTATGAAATTTGAGAATTTATTCATGTCTTTTTTCTTAAATTCATGATTCCTTGTAACTGTTAACTTTCTTTTTTAAATCATTTAACCCTATAAAAGCTGGGGGGGTCTGAATCTATGTATAGCCGGGGGGGGGGGGCGTTTGGCGCCTCCTCCTAGAAAAAGGCCTTACAGAATAGGTATAGGGATGAAATGAATGTTCATAGCCCAATTTTTTATGGCCAGCTCAAAGAAAAAAAAATAAACCGATAACTTTAATAGTTTGGGTGCTAGGGAAGGTGCAAAAAAAAGAAAAAGGATCTGTAGCTTTAGTCACAAAAAAGTTATAGGCTATTTTAGATTTTTTGTTACACAGACCGGACTTTTTTCCGCCCTGTACCCTACCCTATAAATTAAAAAAAAAAAATTTTAACAAAAAATCCATTAATTTACTTTTCATTATAAGTTACAAAATTTCACGGTGATAGTGTCAAAAATGATAAAAAAATACAGCCTGCTTAGGGTTAATAAACCCTCAAAAGACTATAATCAGGGCAGTAAACTTAATTTAGGATCGGCATATTTTTAAAAGAACTTCGGTTTTACAGTATCCTCATATAATTTAATCAAGAACTTCGGTTTTACAGTATCCTCATATAATTTAACCAAGAACTTCGGTTTTACAGTATCCTCATATAATTTAACCAAGAACTTCTGTTTTACAGTATCCTCATATAATTCAACCAAGAACTTCGGAGATTTAGACAGAATTTATAAAATATCCTTAGCTAAGCTACTTAAATCTGGAATACTGCAAATATTTTGTTTTTTAATTGAATAATTATATGGAGCTCTTTAAAACTGTTCCCGCTTATTTCATGCCTTTTTATTTATTTTTACAATTACTGAGCTTTATTTATAATAAAACCTATTGAAAAATTGTCAAGACGACATTTTATAAATTCTTTAGATGACTCTAAGGTTCTTAGTGTTCACATTCATCACATCTTTACATTGCTGCAGATATATGTAGGCTAAAAATATTCTGATCTTATTTAATGATATACCAAGTAAATATTCATGGTTGAGCAACGTTCCATGACAGTTTAGTTATTAAAAAAAATGAATGGCTAATTATTTGGTCGCCCAAGAGGACCAAGAGACGTATGTTACACCGTGAGGTCCCCTTGGTTTGTTGTAAATTCTCCATCCATTTAATGCTCCCACAACACAACACAATATAATTCATAATAAACAAAAATCGCTGTAGCATTTAGCTATTTGCAATTCCTTCCAACATGCTCCTTTTGGACTAATCCCAAATGAAAAAAGGAGAAACCTACAAATGCAGTACCATATAAATGGTTGTCATGTTCTTTATCATCCTTTATTTCTAGTTCTATGTTTTGTTTCAGAAGTGTACACTTCATTTTCCAAGTATGATGTTAACAATAATGACACAGTAAATGGTTCAAGTGAAAGATTGGTGGCAAATGAACTGTTCTACATGTACCATCATATGTACAAGGAACCAGACTACAGGTAGATTTACATATTCCATTATACGTACGAGGAACAAGACTACAGGTAGATTTACATGTTCCATCATATGTACGAGGAACCACACTACAGGTAGATTTACATGTTCCATCATATGTACGAGGAACCAAAGACTACAGGTAGATTTACATGTTCCATCATATGTACGAGGAACCAGACTACAGGTAGATTTACATGTTCCATCATATGTACGAGGAACCAGACTACAGGTAGATTTACATGTTCCATCATATGTACGAGGAACCTGAGTACAAGTAGATTTTCATGTTCCATCATATGTAAGAGGAACCTGATTACAGGTAGATTCATATGTACCATCATATGTACAAGGAACCGGACTAAAGGTAGATTTACATGTTCCATCATATGTACGAGGAACCGGACTACAGGTAGATTTACATGTACCATCATATGTACGAGGAACCTGACTACAGGTAGATTTACATGTTCCATCATATGTAAGAGGAACCTGACTACAGGTATATTTACATGTTCCATCATATGTACGAGGAACCTGACTACAGGTAGATTCACATGTTACATCATATGTACGAGGAACCAGACTACAGGTAGATTTACATGTTAACCTGACTACAGGTAGATTTACATGTACCATCATATGTACGAGGAACCAGACTACAGGTAGATTTACATGCACTACCATATGTACGAAGAACCAGACTACAAGTAGATTTACATGTTCCATCATATGTACGAGGAACCAGACTACAGGTAGATTTACATGTACCATCATATGTACGAGGAACCTGACTACAAGTAGATTTACATGTTCCATCATATGTACGAGGAACCAGACTACAGCTAGATTTACATGTTCCATCATATGTACAAGGAACCTGATTACAGGAAGATTTACATGTACCATCATATGTACGAGGAACCGGACTACCAGTAGATTTACATGTTCCATCATATGTACGAGGAACCGGACTAAAGGTAGATTCAAATGTACCATCATATGTACGAGGAACCAGACTACAGGTAGATTTACATGTTCCATCATATGTACGAGGAACCTGAGTACAAGTAGATTTACATGTTCCATCATATGTAAGTGGAACCTGACTACAGGTAGATTTACACGTACCATCATTTACAGCGTTAACGGTAGATATACCAAAAAAAATATTAACTGCCTTCACTGTTAAAGGGAGTATTCGCGAAAGATGAAATTTAAGTCCTAACAAATCATTCAGATATTACTAACAAAAGTCATCGATTATTTTTCGACGCATTCATATATAGATAATATTTCATAATATTTTTTATTTTGTTTTTTTAAATAATATTTCGCTGCCGCCAGATTTTCGAACATTCCTGAAAAATATGAAAATGTCGTCTTCATTATCTAAAATCGTCGAAACAGGAATAAATGTTTTTAAAAGTAACTCTCAGATCATATTATGAAATATCAACTAAATACAAATGCGTCGAAAACTTATCAATGACTATTGTTTGTAATATCTGAATGATTTGTTTGGAATTAAATTGATTATTTTACGATCCGAGTTGAATGTTACAACTTTCTGAACGTACTCATTAAATACAATTCTGTTCACATATTTTATGCAAATGAATAAAATAAAGAAAACTTATTAATAGTTAAATTTATTATTTTTATATCTTTTGAATATTAGGCCGGTGTCCCTTTGAAATATGAGACATTAATTTATCAAAAGTTAAATTTAGATGTTTGAATCCGAATAGTGATAAAGACCCAACAAAATGGGGGCACTATGATCCCAACCAGTTCGCTGCAGCCAAAAATAAGGAAAGAAAGTATACTGAAATTTATATATTTAAAAAAATTAAATTTCTATTTTTAAACATTATTATTTTATAAAATACATTTAGAAGTTATGAAAATTGTGCTATTATTAGGAGGATTTGGAAGAGGTATGATTTATTTCATTTTCAGAAATTCTTAAAGAAAATTTAATTTTTTTAATTTAAGAAGAAAAGTTGATTTTTAGTTTTACTTGAAGGAAATGTCGTCGTAATTTTAATGTGAATCAGGCTTGCCACCATTAATTGACGGGTCATCTTTACGTTTAAAGACCCTTTAAATCTGAGACTTTAGAAATAAATGACTTTTCCTACACTTCAGGCCTAGAACCGGGCAATATAGCTCTGCCTGACTTATTAGGAATACTTCCTGAATACCACCTTTTTTCTGATTCAATCAAATCTTTTTGTATTTACTTCTTACTTCTGATTGAATTTAACATTTTTGACACATTTTTGAGAGAAAAGGAGAAAAGTCTAAGCCACAATTTACAATTTTCTAATCCTTTATCTTTGCGACTTGATGATATAAACCTTTGATATTTCAAACTAAGAATATTTGATCTAACAAAATGCATAGTTTAAAATATATAAGGTCTACGACATTGGGTTGCAAAGGTATAGGGACTACAAAACAATAGTTTGAAGAAAAGACTCAATTCCTTTACATATTTAAACTGATCACTAGAAGACGATCTGCCCTTATATACTAATTATAAAGGGGTAACGTTACATCGTCTATACGCAACATCCCCCTACTGAAGTTCTGACCTTAGGTTAAAACAATTTCTGGGCCAAGCGCTGCGGCTAGGACAGGCTAGGGGGCTGAGCGCGGCGTCTAGGACAGGCTAGGGGGCTGGGCGCTGCGGCCACAAGTCCATAGCAGCTGTAAAAGCACGTGCCAGTAGGTCGGGTGTGTAGTATAGCAGATTTGGCGTAGGTTAGAAGTGGAGTATAGTGGATTTGCGTAGGTCCAAAAATACACCACCTATGAAGGACAAACTGTATGTACTGTTATTATCTCAGGTAGTAACCTATCCGTTTGATAACCGGTTTCTAAACTACGAAGACCCCGAGGTTCTGAAGCTGATGACTACTGGTAAAGACATGGAGAAGAATTGGAAGGAAGTTTACGGTGTGGATTTTGTTTCTCACAGAGGAGATCAATCTGAAGTATAACATGTTTTAACAAAAAATTCTTACTTTTTAACCAATTTTTTCCACACAGGTGCTGCTAGATTGTTATAAAGCAGAATCAAGTCAGTTTGCTCAGGATTGTAGGAAAAAACAGGGATTTTTTAAGTGCTGTGTTTCAGGGTAGGAAACATAAATTTTATTAAAGAATTATAATGTAAAGATAGTTACTTAAAAGTTGCGCGCATTTTTTGTGCTGCAGTGTACTGCTTTTTATCCTCCTCGGATTCTAGAGGAAAACTGATGTATCTATTCTTGTTTACAAACACACCTCAGAGAGAACTGGTTTCAATATGTACGCAGAGAATACGCAAGAGCAATTAACTTTCCTTGTCTTAATACCTGGGATTTTATACTGTTACAGTGAGATCTGCAATACTGTGGAACATAAAAACTACATTAAAGGGACTGTAAGCGTAATTTCGATTTTCGACTGACCCAGTTAAACCTTAACCTGATAAAAAATGTAGAAGATACCTAGTTTATCTGAATTGAAAAGTGCTAATTTAAACTTGATCAGATAAAGGTTTTAATGGTACCATTGTGAATCAAGTATTGCCATCTTCTCATTGAGGGCCACTTGAAATTACGCTTACTGTCCCTTTAAAACAATCGGATATGTATTTGATGTTGTTACAAAGTTTTACAAAGCTTTATATCAACTTATCAAATTAAGTTGGATGTTTTTTTCAGATGGAATCTGGGAGTAATTCAAACTGCAAGAAAGTCTTTAAAAGCTCACAAATTGATCGAGTAAGTTTGAAAATATAATTTTTTGAAATTTTTACTTTAATTTACAATTTTCCTGCAGCAAGGTGGACGACAGTGTTTGTAAACATAAGCTGAATTGTCAAATAACTTCCAGTGTACATTTCTGCTCTACTCGGGTAACTAGAATAGTTAGTCAAGTGTACAATAGATGGTAACGTAGAAGTTGTCACAGAACAGGTAGTATAGAACCAGCACTGACGCGGACCGCCCTGCTTGAGCGGCTCGAAAGGGATTTACTAAACGTTGCGGCATTGAGCACTTTCAAACAACTCGTACGCTGGCTTGTCAGACGCCGGCATGCGTCAGTACTTGTACTACCTGTTCTTTGGAATTTGTGCACTCTCTGTACAGCTAGCTGTATTCTTACGTCACAAGTGTCAACTTAGTTTTTGTGTCCGACAAAATCATTGATAATAGTCTAGTAATAATGTGCTTATCTTACACTGAAATCAGGGCAATTTTGTTTTCTTTATTTTCTGCTTTTACACTTTTTTATTTAATCTCGGAAAATATGTCAATTAATGCAGTGAGAAAACGTGTGACGTCGTGTATAATTGGTCCATTGCTCTGTTGCCACCTATTGTACTTGATAATCTATATTTTATTATTCTATTGTAACTATTGTTGAAAGTGACAGTCGGCATAATTTCAATTGACTATTTTTTTCAAGACTTCAATGCCCAAATCTCAGTTGACCTCAGCAAAGACGATTTTGTTTTTCTTTCTTAATATAGAGATAATGTTCTTTTGCGGTTCTCGATTCATATGTGACGACTTGCATTTTTATGCAGCAAAGACAAGATAGCTATTAAAAGAACTTCTTTTAAAACTAGAGTGTGCCGCGTTCTTCATGCAGTACTTTAAATTGGGGGTTCCTTGATTGAATGTCTACATTATTTTAATATTCCGAAAAAATTACAATTTTTAAATTTTCAATGCATGTTATTTCTGTTTATTTTTTATTGTTTATTGTTTATCGTTTATTGTTTATTGTTTATTGTTTATTGTTAACTGTTTACTGTTTATTGTTTATTGTTTATTGTTTATTGTTTATTGTTTATTGTTTATTGATTATTTAGGACCCCTTTAGTGGTCTTGTTTCTCTAGAATTTAGAACACCCTTAGGAAATTTTCTTATTAAAAATAAATTTTTAATTTTTTTCCTGCTTTTCAAAATTTGTTTACTATCCTTAAATATTTTGTTCTATTTTGTATATGAGGTCCCGATATAGGAGTTTCGTATTTTCTCAAAGGCAAATTATATCTTTAATGTATTCAAAATGTACATTTTATATCTTTAATGTATTCCAAATGTATATTTTATATCTTAAAAGTATTCCAAATGTACATTTTACATCTTTAATGTATTCCAAATGTATATTTTATATCTTAAAAGTATTCCAAATGTATATTTTACATCTTTAATGTATTCCAAATGTATATTTTATTTCTTAAAAGTATTCCAAATGTATATTTCATATCTTGAAAGTATTCCAAATGTATATTTATATCTTTTTGTCTATTTTTGTATATTTATTTATATTTTCGTATATTTTTTTGAAAATTTTTTAAATGCTTTTTTTATTATTTTTGTCTATTTTTGCACGTTTTTGTCTATTTTTTTCTCACAAAATAAGGTAAATTTGAACAGAGAACCCCCTGGGTGGAGCGACTATTGTGGACGCGGCAATCTCGCATAATATCCAATCAAACCTCACAGACCTGGTAAATAGGAATATTCACACAATTTTTAGGGACCTTTCAATCAAAGAGTACCATAAGAGATTCACACCAATTGTAAGACTCAAAAAATTGCAAAAAACACCCATGGGGTAAAAAATGTCAAAAAATTTGGTCCAGCGTTGGCCATTTTATTATTTGTCTTTTAATTCACAGCTTAATTTAATTCACTTAATTTAATTTAATTCGCTTTAATTTAATTTAATTCATTTTAATTTAATTTAATTCACTTTAATTTGATTTAGTTCACTTTAATTTGATTTAATTCACTTTAATTTAATTTAATACACTTTAATCTAATTTAATTCACTTTAATTTAATTTAATGCACTTTAATCTAATTTAATTCACTTTAATTTAATTCAATTCACTCTAATCTAATTTAATTCACCTTAATTTAATCTAATTAACCTTAATTTGATTTAATTCGCTTTAATTTAATTTAATTCACTTTTATAAGATGTCTACTTCATGTGTACTTCATATCGATCTTTAGGGTTAATACGATCCACACAATTTTTATCATATAAAAAAGCTCTTTGCTCTTATTTAAATATATTTGTATAAATAAATGTTAATTTCGGAAAACTTTTTTGGCGGTTACCAAATCATACAGCTGAACCAAATGTTGGCTGAAATTTTCTATAACCAATGGGTACCCTAGAGTAACAAAGGCTTAAAAATGATTTGATTGTTTTCTTCAAAAATCTTTTTTTTTAATTAGGATTTTTTATTTTACGCATTTCAGCTAGTAAAAAAATGAACGGCTATTGTTTTATGTTTTTTGTGTTCTAAGAAAATATTATTTCCTTCAAATTAATAGCTTCCCATTGCTTACATGTAAGCAATGTAAGTAAATTAAACCTAAAGTCTAACCGCGTCAACCTTATTGCACCAGCTAGTCCTATTGAGTGTCTGCTTTATTTACCCAATGTCTGGGCGATACAGTACAAACTGGGACCGGAAAGGTTGACCCGGCTCGGAAATTCAAATGAACTACGGCTGCCCGTGATCAAAGCCTACCACTGTATGTAGTTATAACATTGATCTTTTTTTCTACTTTCATCCAAATTGTAGCATTTAATTTTTGCAAAAATAAAAGCTTTTTTAATGGTTATGGCCGGCTATTTTTATTTTGAGATAAATGTTCAATTCCATTTTCCGCATTACATTAGAAATGGTGTCATTGAATTTTTGCCACAAACTCCAATTTTGTACCCTCTATAAATATCTTTGCAAAGTGATAGTGTACACTGTACAGTACACCTTTCAGAATTTCAAATATGATATGACAGAATTCAAAGTTTGAAATATTCAAGGTCTTTGACATTGGGTTGCAAAAATTTGACATTGGGTTGCAAAAATTTGACATTGGGTTGCAAAAATTTGACATTGGGTTGCAAAAATTTGACATTGGGCTGCAAAAATTTGAAATTAGAAAATCATACTTTGTGGCAAATACTCAATTTTTATTATTTTTTATCGTTTATTAATTTCTAATTTAGAGAATAGGAATAAGATCTTCATTCTGCCAAAGCTTGGACACCTGTTCTGTAAGTTTTTAAATTCTTTAAATAATATGAAATTTTTAAAAGTTTTACAAAAGAGGCCCAACCGGATTTTTAATGATTAAGCCCTTTTAAAGTTGACAGGTTAAAACTAGGAGTGGCCAAGAAAAGTGGCACAAAGTGGTAGCCCTCTCCTCAATCTAACCTTTTAGGGTCGTTGATATCACCTATACCTAATATGAACTTTTTGCAAACAGTCCAAATATCAGAGTTGTCTATATCTCTGAGTCTCTCTTACTGAATTATTAAACATTAAAAGTTTTAGTTTTTACAATCAGGAAGTTAAAATAGCTCTTGCGCTTTTGCCCCCTGAACCCATACTATTAAATGCGTCAATTTTTTCCACGTAATTTCCGTAATTTCTGCAAATTTGCGCCCATTTTAGGCTGTATTCCACGCAAAAAGTGGAAATTTTCACGTTTTTCTAAACAAAGAATGCAGGGAAATGCTCAATGCGGAATAAAAAACTTGCGCGCAACGATTTTTTCATTCCGGTTGAACCCCTATAGCTAACTTTCTTATTTTAAAAAACATTTATTTTAATATAATTAATTAATCTTCGTATTTTATCAAATATTTTATTATGATAGACGGGAAAAATGAAATATTAATTTAATTTCTTTTACAGTCTACAGATGTGGAGTTTGAAGATTTAAACCTGTTTTACCAAGCTTTTGACAGAAAATCATTCTGTGACCTTGGTAAACACCTTTATTTACATTTTTTTAGAGAAACTTTTCATCTTACAGGGACTGTAAACGTTATTTCAAGTGACAATCCATGCAAATACAGCAATGCCCGATTTACAACTTTACCCTTTATGCCTTTGAATGTTTATCGAGGACACAGCGTACAGTGTGAACTTAACGTTAATTGTGCCCTGCGAGTATACCGATATATTTTACGCTCTCAAATATTCAAAAGTAAATATTTATATTTCTTAATTATAAAACAGTTTAACTTTTTAAAGCGTTTTTGTAGATTAATCAGAAAAAGTCCATTCCATTCGTATGTGGCATGTCTGATTCACAGCATTTGTCTGATTGGGAACGAATTAGACGTCAACGTTTTTTTCTTTCTGAAAACTGATTATTTTCAATTGTGTAATCGCTTTAAATGTGACTTTGGCCGCATTTCTGCTTAAAAATGGAGAAGAATTATTCAAACAGACTTAATTACAATAAATTAAATTAAATAAATAAATAAATAAATAATAAAAATTTTCGACGAAATCTTTATTTTTGTTAATTTTAGGCGTGAAGGACAGTGTAAACAGCTCAAAGTATAAGGTTGGTTTATTATCACTTCTTATTATTTAGGTTTACAAGTTGGAACTGATTAATCACCTTAAACTCTAATTTTCTAATCCAAATATCTGTGCAACCTGATTTTTTAGATTTAATACAATAAATTCTGCTACAGAGGGTGCAGAGTATCATTTTAGATTATTGCAAATCTTTGATGCAAAAAACTCATTGATTCAATCCTTTAAAGGAATTGAGGAGTCATAAACTCAAGTTTTTTAATCCAAATATCCTTGCAAACTGATGATGTAAACCTTTAATATTTCAAACTTAGATCATTTGATCTAACAGAAATCATAGTTTGAAATATCTAAGATAAACGACATTGGGTTGCAAAGATATAGGGATTAGAAAATCAGAGTTTGTGGCAATGACTCCACTCCTATGTTTTGCTTTGTCCCAAAAATTCCAATCTAGGCCCGATCCAGTATATTGTGAGACACTTTGTATGTATTCAAATATGGACAGTTTATACCATTAGGCTGATCAAATAAATAGATTCGATAATTAGAGTTTGATAATAGATTCAGTTCAGCATTCGTTGAACTATAAAATAAATGTATTTATTTAGTCTAAAGAAACACTAGAGGAATGTATGAACCGAAAATATTCAAACATCAGGTAACTTATTTTTTTTTAAAAAGAAAATGGATACATTTTTATTTCTAATCTTACTAATTTTTTTGAGATTCATGATTAATAAATGGACTTTTTTGTTTAGCTTATCGATCTTGGCTTGTTTTATATATATATTGTATTATTATTATTATTATGGCAAAGGAATTGAGTCTTTGCCACAATCTGTGATTGCGACCCATGATATCGTAGACCTTAGATGCTTTTTACTTTGATTTTTTTAGATAAAATTTTTAAAAAATATCAAAGGTTTACACTATCAGGTTGCACAGAAATCGTGATAAGAAAATATGAGTTTGTGGCAAAAGCTCCATTTTTTTAAAGGGGCCTGATTTAAAGTGACCCTAAAATGAAAGCCGATTTACAATGGTACCATTTTAGATCTTGAATTGACTATAAGGAAGATATGATATGTAATACTTCTGATGCACAAAACTTTGCTGAAATTCACGATTTAAATTTATCTTTTCTTAAATAGAAGAAATAAACAAGGGTAACTCATGTCATTTTTGCTTAAACAAAGGTCTAAAGAGGGTACCGTTGTGAATCTGGCTTTCAACTTTCCAATGGCACGTCGATTGTTTATATTTTCCCTTTTTAGAATCTGTCCTAAAGATATTTTCAAGAGTAAACCAGCTACAAAGGACTTCAGATTTGCTAAGTGTACAAAACTGTTCTTTGGCGCGATGAAGACACTGTGGGAAAATGACGGGAAAAAGATAAAGAAGGATAAAGAGAAAAAGAAGAATAAAGAAAAAAAGACAAAAAGCAAGAAAAAGGAAAAAACTGAAAAAAAGAAAAAGGGTGAAAAGGACAAGAAAAAGAAGAAGAAGAAGGGAAGGTACTTTGGGAATAAACGACCAATCTTTTTTGATCTTTTACTAATCCTTCTAACCTTTGAATTGTTCGCATTAACGAAAATTATTCAAAATTCAGTTTCTATGATAGTATAAAGATCACTTTAAATTTATTTTAAGCATTTGCTAGGATTTAACTTTGTCAGGCCTTTTAACTTTCTAATTTTTCTCGCTTTTAAAGTTGACAGTGGCAAAATTACTCGCAGAAAATTTGTCAGATGTTACATGTTACATATTACTTGTTACATGTTACTTGTTACATGTTACATGTTACTTGTTACTTGTTACATGTTACTTGTTACATGTTACATGTTACTTGTTACTTGGTACATGTTACTTGTTACATGTTACTTGTTACATGTTTGTTGTTACAATGTTTAACATGTTGTTAAATTTTGTGACAAGGTAAATGTTCGACATGTCAAAGAAATTGAGTCTTTGCTATAAACTCTGATTGTTTAATCTCTATATCTTTGCAATTTTGCAAAGTTTACACCATCAGGTCACAAAGATGTAAGGATTAGAAGCTTGAGTTTGTGGTAAAGACTTGATTCGCTTGTGATAATGGTACATTTGTGACTTGGAAGGTTTAAAACATGACTAATTGATGACAAAGTTTTTACATGGCAAATTTGTCACAAGGCATGTCTGTTATATGGCAAAATTATAACATAGCCAAGTTGTCACATGGCAAAGTTGTCACATCATAGTGCACAGCTGTACATAGTAATGTTTTTATTTTCTATATTCTATGCCAATGCTTAAACCCCAAAAAGTGCAGCCTCCTGTCAAAACTCCAAATTAAGTTCTCTGATTCCATGGAAAGTAAATAACTGGTGAAGTTGTCTAATGGCAAAGGAAAGGAAATAACTGGCAAAGTTGTCTAATGGCAAAGGAAAGGTAATAACTGGCAAAGTTTAAGAATAGCAAAGGAAACTAAATAACTGGCAAAGTTTAACAATAGCAAAGGAAACTAAATAACTGGCAAAGTTT